TTCCGGTGTATGCCCAGTAATGAAATCGATCTGTAGTTGTGAACTTGGTGTTGTGAAGTGTTGAGTTTGGGAAGGAATATCATGGTGGCGTGCTTTAGTGAGGAAGGAAAGTAACCAGCAGAGATGGAGTGATTGAATATGTATAGAAAGTAGTGTATCATGTTTTTGGGTTGGTGTTTGAGTTGTAGAGTTGTGATGCCTGTGGGACCGGGTCCTTTCTGCTTAAATATTTTTAGTGCGCGTAGTAGTTCTCTGACTGTGATGGGTGTGAAGTCTACTTGGTGGAATCGGGGGAGGTCGCCGGTATTGTATGGATGTATGGATGGAAGGCTGCTAATCCAAATACGATTGGTGTGGAGGCTGCTAGCTGGTCCGTGGCTTAGAGAGAGCGCCAGAAATCACAATTGCACTAGTTGCCACGAGGGGCGGCACTAGTTGCCACGAGGGGCCGCACTAGTTGCCACGAGGGGACTGCACTATTTGCCACGAGGGGACCGCACTATTTGCCACGAGGGGCCGCAATAGTTGCCACGAGGGGCCGCACTAGTTGCCACGAGGGGCCGCACTAGTTGCCACGAGGGGCCGCACTAGTTGCCACGAGGGGCCACGAACTGCGCACGCAAAAACTATAAACATATTGCGAAACGTTGCATAGACACCGTATAGGTTAGGACACTGTCATGGAGTGGTCATAAGTGGACGCGCTCTCCACTGCGGGACTCCTGCATGTCCTATGGCTTCCGACTGTCTAATTGAGTTTTTCTTCTGTTGTGATTTTCTTGAAATTTGAAATTAATTGGTTTTTATATGCTGCAAAAATTGTTCTTTTTGTGTATTACATCCGGAAGCTTTTCATATCCAAACAATGTTAGCGTAGATCTTGTGTAGTTAGTGTATAGCTGTAGTAAATGAGTCCTCATGGTAGGTGAGGAATTACGAATTTATTTTACTTGGTTCTTAAAATATTTGTCATGTTGCAACCAGGAGCGTTAGGAGTTACAAAAATTTCTCCATATGTTTGGTATACTGACACATATTTTAACATGATCATGTTGATGATTTATTCTTAAAATATGCAAATGATTACTTTCGAGGCGGGTTTTTGTTGCCATTGATGCACGAGGCAGTAAATTGACCGTCCCAGTAAAGACCGAAACAATTGAGTGTGGCGAGCCTGTCTCTTGCGGTGCGTCACTCGCTTGTGCTCCCTTGCCTTCTAATCCACTAGTGTGAGTCATTTATACTGAGAACCATTATATAGCATATGTAGTGCCCTATGCGGGCGATGTTATTGTGTAAATAATTCTATATTATCGGGGTTATGTTTATTTTATATGGTATGTTATTTTATATATTATTCAATGTTGATATAATATTATAGAATTAATAATAATTATATTTTATTATAAAATGCAATATTCCTCATTGCATGCATTTTATACGAAGTGTATAAAACCGCATGTAATAGTTGATATTAAACAAAGCGGTATAGAATTACTTGTTGAAATGTGGGATTAACGGAACATGGACGGTTTAAACAAGACTTTCGAGGCTCGTTTGATGTTTGGCAGGCTGCAGTGAGAGGTTCGTCTGTCAGAGGTCGGTTTAGAGTTCGTGCCCGTGACCTTGCAAGTACGACGATGGTCTTTACTTGCGGTTGCGTACCTCAGCTGCCGCCGTCAACTTTCACTTGGCCAACATTTGCTGCGTCTCTTCTGCCTAAAACTCCATGCATACGTCGCGGCCTTTGTGTACAGGGAGAAAATGACTAGAATTTTCCTGCTCGTAAATCAATATAACCAAAATTTTAGTTCTCCTGAGTTTTTAAACACCAATTTATATTAGTTTGTAATTATTTTTTGACAGTATGAACACCTGGAATTCACTCTGCGTCACATATGCATGTGTTCCTACACATTTACTTTTGTATTGGATCTATAAAAACTGCACTACTTTGGCAAACAAAGAACCTTTTGCTGTTAAATTGTGGCACTATAGGCATATCTTTCTAGCATCATTTTAATTGCTTAAACAGGCGCCATGATTTATAAATTATTATTGGACTTTTAATTACACTGAGTGCCCGATTATTCTCAGGGCAGATGAGCGTTGATGTTCAAATCCTTCAATGCTTGTTGACTTATGTAAGAATCCCACTAAATTGTAAATCTCACACCTAAGAGTTGTCCTAAAATTATTCATCGTATATCTAAAAGTTCTCACCTTCACTTTCTTCGCAGTAGATTCATTAATTCTAACGAGCAGAGCTTCAATAAGGCTAGGAAAATAGCTGGCATAGTTGTTGATAAGGGAGGTATGGTCGAAAGTATGGAACTAGAGGATCTCCATTTCCAGGAAACGATGGCCGTCGGTAACGGTTCTTAGCCCTGCATTTCATGAGCAAAAGAAAAGGTACTGTATTTTGGGGCGTTTGGTGCCGACACATATATACGCTCGAGTCACTTACGCCTGTCACTTGATTTTCGCACTTACGCATGTCAATAAATGTTGGATGAAGTGTTAAATATTGTACCGTAGATCATATTATTTTACTAAGTAAGAGTAGAATAGAGATTAAAGAAGAATCAAAATAGTAGGGCAAAATGTTATAATGAATATTTTTAGAATATTTTACAAATAATGTGAATGTTCATAAGATTGTGTGCTCACGTAGTCAAAGCATGGGACATTCAATCCTGGAAAGAGCATTAAGTAATGTTACTCGAGGGCTCAAGTCCGTTAGAGTACAAACCAGGGCCAACCGTCTCAGTCTTGTGTCGAGGTCTATTTTAGTGTCGCTATAATTACGAATCATCTTACGTCATTAATATCGGGAGCTAAAAGGGTCTTCCTGATGCAGCTTTGGCTGCCGTCATTTAGGCGGTGAACGACGGTACTGGTCTCATCCATCGCTAGAGACAACCATGACATCGCTAAGCAACGACTGCCTCTGACATAATACGCATTAGCAATTTTTCACGTGCATTCATTCCACAATAATTGCTCCTGTGAAGTGCTCACCAAAAGCGCCAGGGAATATCACAGCATAACGTCAGTATGCGATAGCGTTGTCTCTCAGCTTATGCTTGCTTTAATACATAAGAACACGAGTGAGCATAACTTACGCTGCTTAATGTAATGAGTCGCCGCGCCACTCGTCCATCACTCGAGGGGAGCTTTGTTCGAGGGACGAGCCTGGGGCGTGAACTGGGTCGTTCCTCGGCATCGATTCAAGCCGGGACTTCATTATTTTTGGGTCATTACCATGTCATAGTCATGCCAGTAATTTTAGTAATGAGCTTATTCTCATTGTAGAATCGTCGCATTCTACGTATTTCCTTTATTCCCAATACTAATCTGAAGTTAGTAAGGTGAATGAATGTTCTCTCAAAATTTTAATTTTATCAATGCACTTTATAGGGTAATGTCGCCACTGTAGTGGCGAATCTCAATTAGCTCTATCTATTTGTATTGCCTTTAGGCTAATTTTTATGCCCATAAGACGTCATAACTTTTGGCACGTTGCTATGACCCGGATTTATAGTAATTGACTTCACACTACGCTCAGTTAGTTCATTGCGTCCTGACCAGAAATTAGGTCTCATCGCCGCTGGCCTTCCACGTGAACTACTTCATCGCGCTGTTGCTGCCGATTTAATGCTCTTTAATGACCGTCATTAGGAGGACGCAGACTTGCTGGCACGCTTTCCTAATGTTTTTGGAATTACTCTTCATGATTGAAATAATGGCTCAGCCCATGAACGGACGCAATAACGTGCTATGAGCTGCGCAGTTCGTCTGATTGGACGCGCCTTGAGTCCATGCGTTACATGTTACAGTCAAGCGTTCTTATCAATTCGTAACCGCTTCATTCTCTTAGTAAGATTAGAAGAATTAGGCAGTTGTGCACAATCGATTTTATCATTACCATTATCAAGGTTGTTTAATAAACAGAAATGTGATGCCTTTATGAAGTATATATAGCTCAATATTAATAGCCTTGTTTATTTATAGAACATTCTTTTGGACCTTAAGATTGCCGCCTGTAACTCGCTGCAAGTTGTCTAAAAAGGAACATCAATTTGTAGTCATGAATCTAAGAAAGAGTTCCAACAGGCCATAAGCTTATTTCTTCAGTGCCGACCCTTCTATTCTAAGAGTTATTTTGGGCCAAGTAAATTGTCCTGTGGCAATCATCGCACTTGAATAGGTTTACCTGTGACCACGAAAAAGTCACAGGTATTAAAAACCTGAGAAGTATATTAAAGTACATTATTTCTTATTCAATACAGTGCAAAGCGCAATATGAAGTATATTGCATTAATGTAATTAATAAGATCGTTATTATGACAAAGCGCCCTCTCCTAGAACCCCGCATGACGATATTATAAGGAAATGAAGCTTTACATTTCTGTGTCCGTTGATGCGCACCATCCAACAACTCAAGCCGAGTTAACCTCTTTAGATGGCAAATCGTAAAAGGCAGCAAAATCTCTATAGTAGAATTATCTTAGAAATGTTTAAAGTTGAAAAATTTAAATACCAGCGGCATTTTGATTTACTTTAATTGCATCCTCTTTTGTGCTTTTCTTTGATAATACATCTTTAGTGCGTTGATAATTTCCATTGATGCTTTTTTTAACAGATGAAAGTTAAATGGATCTTTACTCAAATCAGCGTCTTTTCTCGTGTTTGCGAGCATTGAAGTTAATAGTCTAGAAAGCGATCAAATGTTGGTATAATAGAGAAATTAACTCGACATTTTTAGGGCAGAATTTATGCTGTTGATTCCGACTGTGTAAAGTTACTGCGTATGTCCAATGTCCATCCGACGCCTGAGCACTTCGGGATGAGTTCTTAGAAGGCGGCTGCCTCTAATTACTAGACATAATTTACTGAACAAAAAGATTTTGACTCCAACAGATTTGGCCGAAAAATTTTTTCGGACAAATACTACTACCGCACTGAGCCAAGCAATCTAATTTATTCCACGCTTCCAGGCCTGCAAGAAGCGCTAGCAGGGGGCGGAGGAGGTTCAGGGGTTGACGTTTCGTCCATCCTGGCGGGAAGTCGCTCTGACAGAGACCTTGCACGAGCTATTTGCGGCAGCGGGGGCAGCGGCGGAAGCTCAGATTCGCTGACGAACCTTCTAGTGTACCAGTACCTGATGGGGTCCTTGCCTGAGCGAGGTGCTCCTGCCGACAGCTCATCCCATGGTCGGTCGACATCGTCGGCAGCAGCTCTACAGGCGCTGCTTGGCGATCGAATCGAAGTACGTTCCTCGTGGAAAACTGCCTTATTGTAGATTAAATTGAGTGTAATTTTTGTTCATCACATTAGTTTAATTTATAGACCTCTTTACCCATATATCAATTCTTGCTTATTTGAATTTTAAATCTCGTAACCTTGGTTATGCTACAAATAAATTCAAAAAATAAATTATTTCCATACCATTGAGCTTCGTTTTATAAATGCGTTTCAACTTACAGTATTTCAACTTCAAAACCAATCATATTTGAAAGAATGAAATATCTACCTGAGATTCCCGTCTGAAGAAAAAACATTATATGTTATTTATTAACTTCAGGGTCCCCTGGTCTCTACCCGCACGACGGTGTCCACATCGCTGACGACGACCACCGTCTTGATCGAGCCCACGACGCGCTTCCTGACGTCGTCGTCGACCTACACGACAACCGTCACCAACATCGACACCAAAGTCATACCTGTCATCTTTAGAGGGTCTAAAGTGACAACTACATTCACGGAATCCACCACTGAGGTATGGCATCAAGATATCGATAAAATTGCGAACCTTTTGTGTGTCTCATATTACCGAAATGTTAATAAGGTGCATGTTTGCCCGTGTAAACGAACCGCTTTACAGTCGCATCCTTGATCGTATCTTTTGAAATAGATATGATGAAAATCAACTCATGGCTTGTAAGCTTGCAAATTGAAGGCACATCTTTAAATTTCAGGTGATCGTAGCGACGGAGTTCATGACGAGCTCAACAGTGGACTCTCCGACCATCCTTCAGACCCTGCCCGTGCATATCACATTAACAGCGACAAGCACCCGCGGCCTCGATGGACACTTCACCCTGGCCGATCTGGTGCCTGGCGCATCCTCCGTCGTCCAGCAGCCCATCGCTACTTCAACTGTGGACCTCGACGCCTCAGGAGTTCTTCCGTCCAATTTAGACCTGAATAATATTGATCTCTCCCAGTATGACTTGAGCAGCTTAACTTCGGTATTTGGGGGATCGGACCAGAAGCAAATGGTCAACGCACTTGCAGCCTTGTTGGAGCAGTACGGAAATGAACCTCCTAAGCAAATTTCTGCAAAAATTACTTCCAGTGTTAGGCAAAGAAATGGCAGCGGGACGGGCAGGAAACAAGACTCAAAAAGAATTCCAGATTTCAATCATGACTTGTTTGTAGATCCCGATGAACCTCCGAAGTTTAACGTAATCAAAGGTTTTACGTTGAGCGATCGTGCTCCTGCCAACTCGGGCCCTCCTCGTGGTTCTGGAGGGGGAAGCGCGGCCACGGCAACTCGTTATAGCAAATATCACAAAAAACCTGATCCTGAAAATAATGGCGTCGCATCTCAATCCGGTAATGCCGATCGAGAGTCTGAACGATACTCTGCATCGGAATCTACGGGCAGGAAAGTTGATCCAAGGCCTCAGCGTCGACCAAACACTGAGAAGGAAAGCACCGCATTTGATAGATTTAGATCAACTAGCGTGCGAAACAGTCGTGGAATCGAATCGCAAAATAATTTCGGTTCCGAAGTCGGAGATTCTGATGTAAAACTAGGATCGCAAAAGACTAATAACGAAGAAGAAATACGGAAAGCCGCTAACCGCATCGGAACGCTGAAAAGATTCACTAGCAGAGGCAGACCTAACACAAGTCTTGAAAAAGTGGTCGCAGCCCAACCTGACAAAAATCTGCAAACGACTGTACTGACGATGTTTGTTTCCGGTACTGCCCCGGGAGACTTTAAAAAGACCGAACGTACAATCACCTTGCGATCATTCCAACCATCATCTAGGGTTAAACGAGATGTTTCCCAGACCACCACAGCCTTGCCGGAACACAACCCTCAAAATGTTGGCAACCATGTCGATGTGTCGTCACCTTTAGCCGAGGGTTATAAGTCGGCTGAGAAACTCGCACCAGAAGAAATCGTAAAATTCCTCAAAACTTTAGACAAAGATGCCGTTGAAGATATGATGCGATCTTTGAAGAAATGGGTCCATTATTACTCTTCACAGTTAATACAAAGTGAAAGCAGCAATAATGATCGTAATTCAAAGATCCCTTTGAACGAAGCTCCACTTTTGAGTTCATCTTTAACTTTAGACCCCGAAGCTTGGCATTCGGGGACCGCAGCTTTGTCGGCTGCCCGATCCACTTTATCGACTGAAGCGCCTTCATGTCCTTCTCCCGTCACAGTCACGAAAATAGTGTATCATACAGTTACTCTCACACCTTAGCATTAAATCCCTCTTCCTGTTACCAAAGTCAAAAGCTGCATGATGGCAATGAGAACAAACCATAGGTCGGCGTTAATGCCCAAAAAATTTTTTAATATAATCCGTGACCTCAAGAGATGAGATATCGCTCGGCCGGTATTGTAACACTAGACTGTGGATGTACGTTGTTGTTGCATTACTTTTATGATGAAAATTAAATCTGAAAGTGGAATGATGATGGTTTGTAATCATGTTGCAGCTTTTATGTTCTATAGTATTCGAATGTGTGCACTGTAATGACTATGCGTACCCGTTTTTATGTTGTTTACGAGTACTCAAAGCGTTCATTGTCTTCTCAGTCAGCATCATTTTATTCATTGTCAACTCCAAGACGAGTCCCCATTAAGCACAACGTATTTCTTCGTTAAGAAATATCATTGGTTATTGAAACAAATTTCTTGAAATTAACCTTCGATTATAAAGCCAGACCTAATTTGAAAACGTTCAAAATATTACTCGTATATGAAAATTGGTGTAATTTGTGTGCATTTGACTCATGTTTCTCCGGCAGTGAGTGATGAACTTGATTTTATCTGCTGGGAAGGATAACGTGAAATCTTTCAATTTTGAATCAACACTGTAAATAAGTTATTTTATGTAAATAATTCAACAGAAAGATGTTGCTATTTTGCATTAAAAATGTAGAAGTATTCGAGGAAAATAACGCATCAGCGCCTTGCTTCTAAGTTTCACGGCCTTCGATGAATGAAACTAAATAAGACTGAGCAGCTGAATATAGGCCAAGATTTTGATGACACATCGTTTCATCCGGTGGGCATCTTGACACGGGTCTTCATGAAGAAATTTCATTCTCGCTTTCGTGAACCATTAAACTGTTCACCAGCGCAAAGGTAAACATGTAACTTATTCTTCTGAATTTTGTTCCGGGAAGATGCGTTGTGCACTTTTATTTCGAATAAACGACACTTTCAAGTGTATTTCTAAGGGGTTTACTGCGGCACGCATGTTAACATGTTACTCAAATATTGGTCATGCTGCAGGTTCTAATGTCAAAAAATGATTGGGATAATCTGCCCGATAAATTTGATATTGATTCGAGGTTTGTACTATGTAGATATTTTAAATATTGCGTTGTTCTAAGCCAAAGCTTTCTTGTAATCTGAACAATCGATGGCAAATTGACAGACAACCCCACTGACCGACGCAGTTCTTGGAACACCGTGAACGTTGCAAAGGCGGACTTATTTGGAATTGTTTAGTTGCAATTCACTTATTTGTATTTGGACAAAGTCTGAGACTTTTTCAAATTAGCGATGAATCGTTTCATTAAACTCATTATAACAATGTGACAAGTTCAAATCAACTTGAGTCTTCCAGCAAACGCACGTAAGATCAACCGCTAAAGCTGGCGTGGGCCCACAGTCACCATAATGATGGATTTGGAACCCCCCCCCCACCAGTGATGAATAAAATACTATGTATTATTGTGAAATAAACCTTTTTTTGTTAATAGATTTCCTACACTAATAGTGTTACATTTTTTTCTCGTTTCAAAACATTGGAATTGGAAGCCAACGTTAAATTTATCATATTTCCATTTGTCGATAAGAGGACTTGGATAAAATTCGACGTCACATTGTTGCGCTTATTCGTTGGTAAGTCAAGTGTGTACACTTCCGAGTGCTTTATGTGAATCCATTTTTACTTGATTATTGTTTTCATCTTCAGCGAATGTCTAAATGGAGAATTTTTTGCGATTTTATCGCACCCCGAAATAATGACAGGGCGTGAAAAGCACCAGCAACGCACGCTTTTTTATAAATAAATAATAACTAAAGCACGTCATGATATTTTTTCGTCCTGTTTGTGCCATGTGTTTCGGAAGCTCTCTAAATTCAAATTTCAACGCAGGTACATCAATCGAATACAATAAATTCAATTCTTCCGTGTCCCCTGTGTTCGATGTAATACTTTGGTACTTGAATTATACGTGGGGAATTTTGCACTCTCAGCTCACATTTGTTGGTCGAGCGACAAAATATCATGCGAAGCTTGTCCCTCCGCTAGACTTGACTGAACGAGCAACAAAGGAAGTCAATTGCGCTAAGCTGACCTGTGTGAAGCGCGTGTGACCTGTGGTGCTATTGATCACTGCCTGTTGTCCTGTTTCATGTTCACACACATCGACATAAGCGCAGTTTAATGCATGTTTGCTGATGATTGTTAGATACTGTAAGACCTTGGTCTCATTCTCGGTACAAGAAGGGTCAGCTATATACCTTTGTTTGTGTAAGCTCTACAAAGCACTGTTGCGTGCGGACGAGTGATACGCGGCCACTTGTTTGCACTTTCAGGGTAATTCCTACACTTGTCGAAAGCCGATTCCTACTAATTTTGCCAATTTCAACAAATGCGGTGTATTTTATTGCTTGGTGTGTGTATAAAATACCATTAAAGTACTAAAAAATTTATTAATTGTACTTATACTTGCTTACCAACAAGACGCATTCATATCATACCTTCACGTAAGTTCGGAAAGCATATGAGACCTAAGCGCAAAGATTAGAAACATAGAAGCCTTCAACTGCTAGATTTTCTGTAAATTGATCAATTTCAGTGATATCAAGTCTAAATTTTTCTGTTAAATAGGGCATATACCTATACGAAGATCATAAATGCTTCCTAATAATGATGATCCAAGCATCATCAATAAAGTCAACTCTTTTTTCAGAAATTGTAGAAATTTTGTTAAAACTTTATAAGTATTGACTTGAATGAGCGAATTTCAAACTGACATACAAGAAGTCATGAAAAAATACTGCATTAGAGTTGAAATAAACTTATTACCAATTAAAAGCTTGACCTATAAGGCCTACGTGGTTTTTGCAAATAACTTTCATGTTTCATCTAAAACCATCTACACAGTTAAGATCTCCAGCTGGGTCCAATACTTGTACTCCGTTTGGCCATCCTAGGTCTGTTGACCAATGCTCTACTAAACTCTCCGGAATTCGTTCTTTTTCCTCTTAAAGTCGCAAGCTTACTAACCTTGATGCTAGGTTGAGACACACTTGCTTTTTTCATCATCTTCAGGTTACTTGGAGTATCTCGTCGCTGACTCGGGTGTCGATATTCGGGGTCAGTCTGAGTATATGAGTCTGCAATCGAACTTCTTCGATAATTAGGTCCGCCGTTCAGAAAGTCCATGGAGCCTGATAAACTTTGATTCTCAAGAAGACGAAGCTTCCTCCCTTGTTTGGAAATCTCTTGAATTTCATCGGGGAAAAGAAACTGAGTTACGTCGGGCGCCACAATCACAGGAGTCAATGGCGTCGCCTCAACCACTTTCAAAACATGGGTAGTGTTCCCGCTAACTACCTTGAGTCGCTGGCCAGGAGTAGCCAGCGAATTCCTCCTAGAACTTGATGAAGATAAGTGCCTACTTTCGTGATTGGAAAAATGCATAATTCGATTATCATCAGGCTGTAAGTTATTGCTGTATTCTTCCAACTTATACTTGATCAGAGTAATTTTCGGCACTTTTTTTCTTTCACTTTCATCTGAATTAATTTGTGTCAGCCTCCACTTGTTGTATTTACTAGAATACAAACTCAGCTGTGAAGGTGTTAGAATATCGTCTGGATTGTTAGGATATGTAGGAATCACTGCTATTGATCTGACGTCTTGATATTCCGAAATTTTTGGCATTTGAGGAGTGAAATAATTATTGTCGCTGTGTGTGGAGGTGGGTCGGGAATCTAATCTAGTGAGTGGCTCCGCGTAAAACAGCCTCGGTTGACTAGGTCTGTAAACTGGATCAACTCTGTTCTCCATCAGGCTGCTTGCGTTGAAGTTCTGGGCGGCTATGTATGCCGGGAGTGTGCCTGCTGGTCCGGAGGCGAAGCGACTGTTTGTGACGTCTGTTCCACTAATGATGAGATTTTCTTGCGAAGTATTGCTATTATCCTCAGCAACCGACGAAGGTAGAGTTATGGATGTTGCATTTGCTTGAGTCAAAAACCTATTGTCGCTCTCATCTGCAGGGCTAGAGGAACTGGTATGGGGGACACTAGATTGATTCATGACCAGCGATGGAGGTTGGAGTCGTTGAGAAGAGTGTATCGCTGCAGCAGGCAGACGTCTCTCACGATCGGTTGGTATCTGCAGTGTAATAATAAAGCATTTGCTTCAGTCTAATCATCAAAATTGTGAGTAACAGATCAATGCGATGCTTGATGCTCTCCAAGGCTTTTAGATTTCGATAAGTAGAATGGACAGCTGATACAACTTGTTCCATGTAAAGTAATTAAAATATTCTACTTTAAATTAGTATTAAAACCAACAATGGAATGCATCTCAAAGTACACTGTATTCTCTTGAAGAAGCTCACTCCTAACACTGAGGAAATGCCATGTGACTAATTTTATGAACGGATGCATCTAATGAAATTTGTTAGCACTCACCGTATGCGCAGGTTGACTGCCACGGCGCTGCGTCGATAGCCTATCCCCTGCCAGGCTGCTCGGCTGTCCTCCCATTCTATCTCTGTAATTAAACATTGCAAAATTTGTTTATAAATAGGAGTAAATTAAAATATTTTTTTAGAAAGTTTGTTAAAAAAATCATTTTCTGAGTATCGATTTGTTAAGATCATGATATCCTAATGCCGACACAATTTTAGTCACTGTCCAGAAAGAAAGTTATAATGATGATTTGCGATTCGTTAATGATCATCACCACATAAGTCAATGGATCGTACGCTCCAACGAAAGTTCTCGGGTCCCAAAGTGTGTTCTGCTTCCGTCAGTATTGCTTAGTTAATCTCAATTACAAATTTTTTCATCTACAGTCCTGAGTGTTTTGCGTAATTTGAATTGATTTTCGGATAAAAATATATATATTTTTTAAATTCAAAGTCGGATTCAGAAATTTGTGATGATAAGGAAATAACGAACACAGTGCAGGAATTTATTAAAAAAATTTTCGGGTGAAACACATCTAAGGTAAAATGCAATGTACACGATAGTTACAGGTCTACTTCACAACTCGAAGTAAATACGATGACACTCGGAAGTGGAAAAGAAGGTGATGAGTGACACACAAAGATGTGATAATCGAACATGGCTCATGAATCGATTGTTCGTTTTCGTTTGCCAATCGATAAAAAAGAAAAAAAAACATGCCAGTGTCAGTCACACAAATTTCGTAACGAAACTCTCCAAATTGACACGTAAGTGCCCATTAAGTGATAAATAGCAGGTGCTGGTGGGTACACACCGCCGAAGAGGTGATTTCGACACAGAATTTCCAGAGACTTGGTCATGACTGGCATCGTCAGCTCCATCGAGATGAATGTTGGCACTGCCTGGCAGTACAGTTTCTTGGGCAATTTTGTCTGGTTTTGTGTTGCGCCTGTTCCCTCGATTATAGTTTAGAGTCTGACCAATTCGAGCCTGACGAACAGTACTTTCTCCAGGCCTTTTGGACCTCCGAGAGGGAAATGACAATCTTGGAGGTTTTAGTCCTAATGATTCTCGACTTTTTGTTCCGTTTTGATTGATAAGGACTACAGAAGGACGCCCGCGCGACTTGGAGGCAGCAGTATTAGTCGGTCGCCCCTCATGCAATCTGTTAAAAATACTTTTCCGATTTGATATGCTTTGCTTGCGAGCTGACGATCTTCGCTTCTTGAGTGATTTGGCATCGCCACGTTTGAATCGATTGGACGCACTGGGCAATTGTTTGACAGAACTTCTTGAACCGGGAATATTACGGTTAACTAATCTCGCAGAATCCTTTGTACGGAGCGAATACGTTTCTTCTGGATCGTTGGCTATGACATCAAGTAATGATCTATCCAATACAGAAACTCTCCCATAGCAAGTCTCGTCATCCTCTGCCTCTGTGGTAGTCCCTCGTTCATGATTCCCTGAAGCTGAGATGACGCCTGAGTACCGCTTTAACCGTATCATGGCATTCTGGAGCAATTGCGTAGTTCTTCCAATGTTGTCTTCTCTTCTGGGAAGTCTTTTCTTAGGGCCGTCTAAAAAACTTTGAATGATGGAAAATTCTCTTTGCTTTTTCTTTGTTTCGGACATATTTGCGGACTTTCTTGACATGCGCCTTGAATTGTTCAAAGAGTGTTGCCTTCTAATCGCCGAAGTTGCTGGCGAGTCATCAACGCTCGCCGGTAGGTCATCTACGCTGCCTGGTAGATCGTCCACGCTGAAGTAAGGCTTCTTCACAATTTTGGGAGGCTCCTTGCTCTTATTCTCGATTGCTATCGAAATGCGCGCGCGTGACAAAATATTGAGATTTGGTTGTGGTTTTTTCATTTTAGGAGGTGAAGGCAATGGCGGAGGCGGAGCCCTTACGATGGTTGGGAAAGGGAGGACATCTTCGTGATATTTGATAGCTCGTTCTTCAGTCTCGATGTTTGACAGCATTGAAAGATCGTTTTTCAAAGCTTCAAATTCTTGATTTTCACCGAATATTGCTTCGCCTCTCGTTAACAACTCCCTCTCTTTTCTAAGTAGAAGAATGTAGTCACGCAGAGGCACATTATCGAGCCGTTTCTTGTTCCTCTTGGCCATGGGATGGATTTTACTGCCAGGGACATCGTCGGAGCTGAGAGCTCGGATGGGATCTATTATGGTCGGGTGCAGCGCAACGACAGGCGAACTCGTCGTATTCTTCGCGGTTTTAGCGCCCATTACTGCACCTTTTGAAACATTCACCAGTTGGGGAAGTTTTCTGTAAATCGTCGCGAGTTAACTTTGGACTATCAAGAAAATTCTAACACAAGTAGGCAGCGCTGCAACTTAGTAGAATACATCCAGAGAGTTCGAGTAAGCCTCGTTGATAAATTTGTATTTTTTCCTGTTAGAAGACTCTCGTAGTACACTGTCAGACACCCTCGACTCATTTAAACGAGACATTTGCAAAACTTGAAGTAAATTTTGGTTTAGTTTTAATTAACGTATAATACGACTATGCGCGGATTCGCAGCCGTCTACAGGGATTCTCGACATTTATACCTCAAAGATAATTCATCAACAGCAACATTCAAGGCTCACCTGGCAAAAAAATTCAAAGAAAAATTTTAAATAATTAAGATATGATTTTCACATTTGAAACTATTTGAATTATCAATGATCTTGGTTTGAATCTCAGATTATCATAATATGTTAATAATATATAAGCAGCGTTAATATAAGCAGCGTATAGGCCTCTGCGTCACTGACCTCGAGCTGAACTGACCGCACTCAGCGACTGCTGGAGCAACAATGATGAACTCAAACGCTCACTCCGCCCCGAAGGCTAATGCAAGCGTCAAATTCGCACAGATTTCGAAAAAAAAACACAGAAACGAAGTAATGGTATACATTCCCACAAATTAAATTTGGCATCGAACAAGAAAAATATAAAGCATTGCCTTACTTCGACCAAATAAGGCACTTCAATATTACGGAATCAAGCGAAATTTTGATCCTAATATTCTCTGTTAATACACCGATTTATTTCTTCAATAAACTTAAGCTAAAAACTATAGATCAAATTATTGCCCGTAGAAATGATTATAAAACTGAAGGGGAAATGAAACAAATTCGAACTTTCTTTCATTGTCCTAATATTACAAGCCTGGCCGTGCCCTCACACGCGTCGTACTCAACACTCGCCACCGCTTGAGAAAGCTTACAACTTTACGCACCGCAGCAACATTCACTAAACATCAAAAGAAATCTGATGCCAGGCTCATAAAATTTGTGACACAGAAGCAGAGCCTCGGAACATCAAAAGCCTGGGGCGAAAACGTCAGCAGCGTAACTCGATTAGATTTCTAAAATTGCACGACACCATAAAAAGTGTAACGACAAAATAAGTCATGAAATAAAAACACTTACTAAATAGCAATATAATCGCCAAATATCATTAAAACGTCGTAACTAATACGTGTCACGAGAGAATATCTTTGAGACAGAATAACGAACTTAAAGCAAAAATAGAAAGCTAAATGCAAAATATGTCGAATGAAAATTGTTCAGAAAAAATCCGTACGAATGCAAGTTTGCGAGACTTCGCGACACGTCAAAAGAATTGGAACAAGTTCGCTCACACGACCAGTGAAGAACCAAGCTACTTCCTTAAACGTCAGCCAGTCACTTTACTTAGGAAAATCAAGGCCAACTTCTGCAGTTCTACAAAATGCGTAGCTATCCTACACATTGCACTTCTAATCGTTAAGTAATCACAAGCAATTGATCTACCTGGTTAATCACACTATGTATACATAAGTGGTATAATATAAAATCAAATTAAGTGTTGAAGTAATGCACATACTAATGAATTAATATGCCACTATTTGAGTGTTCAAGAAGGGTGTCGGATATGAAATATCCAATAAATTTCAACTTTGTATTAAAAATCACAGTTCTTGAATTTCAAAACACAAATAAGCTATAACAACTAAGATGTTCAACAGCAATAATAGGATTTAGCATCCCCAGTTCTGCTAGGGCAGGGATCGCTTCTATGAGGTTAATAATGACTGGTTTAGTCATTAACCACCACGTCCACCAGAGGCGAGCACCACAGCTTGTATTATTGCGACACGTTGTGGTCACTAATATTTACCTGAGTCAGTGTCCAGCGACTGCACAGCTGTAAACTTGGTCCCTTAACATCTCATGTGACCTGTTCAAGCTCATTCTAACATACGTGTCTTGTACGTGAAAAAAACCATTAGAGTTACAATTCTGACAGATTCAGTAAATGAACTGTCGTAAAACATGGTCCTTTAATTCTATTGATCCTCAAATTATTGGTTAGTGAAGTCGTGATAAGCAACATCGATTGAACATAGCAACGTTGCATGGGTGACAAGATTGTGTACCTCAAGACTGTGACAAATTAAAAATAGAATAAAATTAACAGGGATACCCATAGGCAAAAAAATTTGCGCGGAGGATCAACAATTATGGACTGGGGCCGTTTTAACAAAACTCGGCTTGACTACAAATAGCACTCGATTTCTTGTCCGTTATTGGTTGGGGTTTCCTGAAGAGGCGTCAGTGATTGGCTGACGAAGTCACAAACTCTTAACAATATTTGATAACACGGCCGCTGAACAGAAAACAATACCAAGCACATCTCCGCTGCAGAACAAGAGAAGACGAAGCAAATGAGAGCGAGCTCTTTGTAATGCAAATAATAGTTAAGGTTTGTTCATAGAAAGACATATCTAAGCTGCGTGTACAAATGTAGTGTATATATTACAAAATTTTATATTAGTCTATAGCATAGCGCTTGAGAAGAATTACAAGATAAAGGACTTGGTCCAGTTGGTGCATCAATATAAATCAAAGGAATTAATTTCCATATTTCGCAACAAATTAATAATAGTAAAGTTTTTAAACCACAGATTAAAACTGCTTTACGGCATCAACTTGAATCCACAGTTTGAATAACCAAATATCACAGTAATAAATTATAAATAAACTAAAATCCTCTCGAAATTATTACTTACTCCATCAATTAATTAAAATAAGACAAGACGATTATAAGATCAAATTTGTTTCAACATTATTTATAAATAATTATATCATCCAAAATGCTATTCCAATTGTCATTATTATTTTGAAGTAAGCAATTTAGCAGTATAGGAGCAACAACAGCGGCGCAAACTATCATCACTAAATAAAAGTAGCAAAGTTAATTAGTCCGCGACAAGACAGCCCAAATTGCTGCCTCACTCAGACCGCCTACAACTTTCTTAGCCAAGAAAGAGGAGTCAAAAAAAAAATGTCACGCAGTAAACAGCATGAGTTAACACATAAATAAAATACTGACGCAAGTATTTATAGCATTTCAAACTACTTAGAAATGCGCCAAAGTGAGATTCGATCCATTGAATACTAGATTCAAATGAACATTTCTCAAAATAAATGCAGAAATTTAAATTAGAGTCCTTATTCTCGATAAACAACCAGTGTTATGATAGTTAAGTACAGCAGGAGGCAACTAAAGATTTATCGAGACATTAAGCACTAGCATATTGTGAAACATAAAGACGACTTCAAATTTGAAATTTTTTCTGATCTACTATACTTTCTGTCATACAACTACTCATCCGCGTTTGGCTTGCACTGTGCGTTGCTTAGACGGAAGACATCGAGTGTAAATATGTTCTTTTTCAAGTGAGTGAGACAACCGAATGGCACGGCTATCAGGCTGCATTCATTAATTGTTGTGCTAGCACCCTAATTAAACTTTCATTACTGAATTAAAATAGTAAAGACATGTATAGCTACGAAATAACGAGACTCGCTAATGTTTTATAACTGGCCAGATTGGCGTGCAAAGCATACAAATCATGCATGATTTACCATGAACAGTCACGGTGATTTTCTAGCGAGATCCTGTAAGATCTCGAAATAGAATAAAATTTTGGAGGGTCGGCTGCAAGTAATGATATCTCTTGGGTAAGTAGCAACGATTTTTGATGACAAATACCTACAATTAATCATATCAGAGCCGCAAACAACATCTGAAAGAAAAATTCTTATTTTCCAAGAAAACTTGATAATCTGGAGTTGACGAGCAGCAAGAAGAGCACTTAAATGCGGAAGGCCTCGCCCTGCGAGTTGATGTGCCGGAGACGCAAGTAGACGTCCGTGCCAATGCCTTGCATGGTCTGCACCTTCAGGGAGCCTCCCATGTACTGCGCGTACGCCCGCGACGTGGGGAGACCAAAACCAAACCTGTGCAGTAATGTACATGACAGATTAGAACACTCAATACTTGTACGCATCACTTAATATTTGTACACAACACTGAATACTGATACACAGCGCTTTATACTTTCTGGTGCATAAAAATTGGGGGTATCTTGTTGATCGAAATTATCTCGCGTACGACAAGGGAAAATCTTAAATATCTGGCTTCTTCATCAACAAGGTTTGCAACTCTAAAATTAAACTGATCGAATTTTAAATTTTTCACTTACAAATACAAAAAATATGTCAGTCCTACCTATATGAAAAGTCCTACAATAGCTATGGAATAGGAGTTACATCATTATATACTAATCACAAGCAACCGGTGTAACCACTACACGTGCAACACGGCCAATAACAGCCCAACATTCAATGAATCAGTGAAGGATCAGTAATCAGTAAAGGATCAGTAATCAGTAAAGGATCAGTAATCAGTAACGGATCAGTAATCAGTAACGGACCAGTAATCAGTAAAGGACCAGTAATCAGTAAAGGACCAGTAATCAGTAAAGGTTCACTAGTAAGTAAACTAACCCATGCATGGGGCCGCCCACAGGTCCGGGATTGACAGCCTCCATCATGTCAGAGAAGGCAGAGCTGCCGTCATCACCAGCCTCGGCTGCGGTGCTGGTCGCGCCAGACTCGCTCAACGAAGACGCCGTCGTGAAGTTGTACTCGAGCACGCGGCGCATGAGGTGGTGTGGGATACCTTTGCCGCGGTCACTTATTCTGCTCAACATCCAGCACGTTATTGGAACACTTACAAAAAAATAATTGATTAATGATTGCAATTGAATATCATTTAGCAATTATTAATGTCATGAGGATAAAGCATAACTACTAAGTAACAACCAACTAGAAATGTGTCATCAAATACTATAATACATTTAGAACCTGATAAGTGCATAGTCATTTTAAAAATTCCCTCCATATTTGACGTCATCAACTTCATTCTATAAAATATAACAGTAAAACTCACTCGGTTAATTAATAAAGATCTGGTACAAAAGTCTCATTCTTCTAGCCAATTTATTATTTCATCCCATGACTCAGAAAAGATTGGGCTAGAAATTTTGAGGTTTACACAACAAGTAAATACAAGCAGAAAATTAGCCAAAGAAGCCTGGTGCATGAAAGGGTTTGTCTCATGAAGAAGCTCACATGTCACAAGGTAGAGAATGCTATATAATAAATGCAAAAAGTTCACCTGATAACAAAATCAATCTCATTGGAGGCAATGGTGATATGGATGGGGGGCAAGTGTGGTTCTTCATCCTCCAAGTGGTTCTCGATGGTTGCTCGCACAGCGTTCTTCAGCAACTCAGGTAGGATGTATTCTAGTGGCACTGCAATACAAGCAAACCTCGGAGTGTCTACATGCTAAAAAATCCTGCTTTATTTCTGGTACAGAGATGTAGGTATATAAACCATAAACAAGTGCACGGTAATAAAAAATATCTAAACCCAGGAAAACATGGCATCCTTAGTAACATTCTAACTTTTTAACTCAAGCAAAAATAATATTTAACATATCAACAAATTAATCCCATTTGAGATATTCATCGAGATGTTTTATGTTTTATCCTCAAATTCACACACGTGATTGAACCAAAACTTGTCATTTCATCATTAATATTTTCTCCATGGTTAGTGTTACTGCCAGAAAATCTTACTTGATTTCCCCAAAAAATTGCAAAAAAAACTCAATTGATTATTTCAGCTTAAAATTTAATGTAAGCTGGAATATATCGAATTAAAAAACAATTCATCAGTTGATGAATCAATCAACAAATCTTGGTCAAAAAAGATGCTTCCACAACAAATGTTTTCCCAGACCACAACAACTCCAAAACGCCAAAGCTTAATATATTTTAACAAATGTTTTCCACATTCCTGACTGAGAAGAGCAAACCGCGCCTGAGAGAAATTTGGCCACTAACATTAATTAAGGTAAATGCACTCACGCTCGATGTAAGGGAAGGTGGCATCAACATGCCCCGACATCTTGATGGTGGGAGCACGTCCGTACTTGTGTGCAGCCATGCGCGTCACGAACTTGCTGTTGCGCTCTATCAGGTCTTTCAATGGCATCGATATGTTGATGATCCCAACGTGGTTAGGCTGAAATATTAGAAAAAGTAAATAGTTAGCAATAAAAATGTAAGATACACAGACTGAAAACTTGAAATGAAAAAATTTGAATTTAACTAGAGGTTCAGTGATTATATAACATAGTTGGGAGAAATTTTTATATCAGGTAGCAGGCAAGTTAACATCATTCCAACCCTTAATATGTATGGCTGAAGAGAAAAGATTCCTACTTAGGCACTTAATGACAAAAATGGGCATTCATTAAGCAATATATTTGATTTATGTACAAGAAGTTGAACATGACTAAACCTTTTGTGACTGACCAGACTTCTTGGTCCCAATCCACTAGGTACAAATAGAATTGACGATGGTAAATGTATACAAGATCAAAATGAGTCAAAGTCTTATAAAGTGAGAATAAACCTTATCATCTCGCAGAGCCAAGTGATGTTGAGCCAGCATACGTATGCTGAGGCGAGACGTCAGTGTTGTGTCCAAGAATCTTGCCACCACTTCTTGGTTGGTCACATGTCGCCGACACTCTCGAAAGCCTTCAGCAAGCATACTCACCACATCCTGAAGACATTATTAGAAATATATAGTCATATGGAGTAGATAGGACCAAAATCATTAACAAGCATATAACACCTATACCATGAATGACAGAAAAAGCCTAAACCTATCACAAGCTGTGTTGGTGCAATGGGCTTCCAGGCCTCAACTCAGACTTTAAAAATAATATAGTTTACTGCATAGAGCAAAAAAAAGTGAGATGGCCTCATCTTACACCAGTAGGGTAAGATGGGATGAGGCTGGAGTAAGACAGGACCAACTGGTAATTCTATGTTACAAGTTTTTAATCAAATGATGGACTTTATATTCCATATTATCCATTTAGCAACACATTATTATATGACACAACCACTTGTTACTTTTTTGTATTGCAGGAAGTCAACTTTAGTAGCAGTCACATTGGAGTATTCATCATGCAAAAATTTTATTAAGCTTCCCCTTACAGTAAGTTGGATTTGGTTCATTGAAGAGTACTGAGTAATATGTGTATATTCCAGTAGTGTCATTGTCTGTTACATGATCTGATATCCATTGTCATTGGTTATATTTTTCATGATTCCTTCAAACATTTCTTCAGGTCTTTCTACATTTAAGCTCTCCCAGTTGTTCAATTTATTGATCGTGTTTATTTTAATGGTTGAGAGTCATTATTGTCTGTCTCAGTCTATTTGCTTCTGCCTGTTATTCTGTCGAAGCAGTGTATTGTTCACTTTATTTTCAGCAAACGCTGTTGATCTCTTTCCTCTCTTTCTAATTTCAGGACCACTGGACTTCTAAAAGCTGCAATCAGGCATTGGATATGATGTTTCAGGAATAAATGGCATTGAGGCTCTTCGCATATCCAGTTGTTCTCAAGTCAATTGACCAGTTGATGGTGTTACTTTGATTTCTACAGCTAAATCTGTAGAATTTAGATGCTTCAATGTGTTCTGCTCAAGGAATATTGTATGCAATTTCAACTAGTTCATTTTTTGGCACTTGACAGATTGAATAACCATTCTCATGTTTTAGCTTGTGACTCCAAAGTCCAAGTACATTAAATTTTTAAATTGATCTTATCCAGTCTTGAAGTCCCATAAGTGGACTTATTCAGAAGATGAATTCCTGTAGTACCAAAGCTGCATTAATATTTCATTCAGATATGCCTGTCTGACACACAGCTTAACATCATGTTGTGGGTTTAGATAGGACCGGTTGTAGGGTAAAACAGGATCGTTTGGCAGTCCCCGTCTTACCCCATTTTAGAATGCATTTCAGGCAGTGATGGTAGCAGGTAAAAATACCTTGGATGTCTTGAAAGTTGCTTCTTACTAGAGGTTACCTGCCTACATCCACAAACCTTGCCAAAAAAAATTTCTGTTATTAGACAGAGCTTACCTATTTCCCACCAAATAAGGTTACCTATGTATTTTCTGACCTATTTTCACATAGGTTTTATTTAAAATTTTGCCAAAATTTTTTTATTTTCAGCACAATGTCAAAACAAATGGTTAAAATGATTGGAAAGTTGCTCTAACAGATTCTTTTGTCAAATTAAATTCAGTGCAATTAAATTGCATGCTATGACATATTTTTCTTACTCTCTAAGGCTGCAAACCTGTCCTACCTCATTTGACTATACTTGTAATAGATTTATTGTTTGGAACTCGACCCTCATCAAAGATACAAAAATAAACTTATTCAACTTACTATTTGATGAAAACAATATTACAAATGATATGTAATCTGCTCAAAAACACTGATTTTGAAACACAATCAACATGAAAACTTTACCAAAATCCAAATTTACATTCTTCATTTGCGCTGGAAAATTAATAAAGAATATTTTGCAACACTTGCCTTGTGATCTTCCAACAATTCCTGCAGTTTCATGCAGTACTTTTGTTCATCTTCATCTGTGAGTATTGGCCTGAATGAGTTCAGGATATTAAAGGCACGGATGTAGAGCTCATGCACGCCAAGAATCACAGGGTTTGATCCAACAATGAACGGCAGGTTCCTGAAATCCTTGATGCGGTGAGCAATGCGTATTGGTAGCTCCCTTTGTAGGTACTGGGCACTTTTCTGACAGCACAAAGATAAAGATCAACACAAATATATGAAACATATTTTGTATTATTCATCTGACACTGCATTAGAAATCAATTTCAATCTAATGATGATTAATAGAGGAAGATGATGAATAAAAAATATAGATGATTAATAAATCTTCATTACTGCCTTTCAATCATTTTATGCAAAGAGGCTTCAATTTGAATATTAACTAGGTAATAAATGTCTTTTCAATTTCAAACATGAAGTAGCACTCTTATCACTTAGCATGTATGTAGGTATATATTTTGAGCTTCTTACCAAGACATGTCGTCCATCTTTGCTTTTCCCCGAGTATAGTATAGTAGCTGGTGTGAGCCGCATAGATGCCTGAGGAAAGAATCATCAGTCCAATAGAGATTTGTTCTTAACTTGTGACAGCACATGACATCAAATATATTGTTGCAGCACATGACATATTGCAATAACTTTGATGGTATCTATTATAGGTACATAAGAATTTTGTTCATCAGATCAAAAGTTTCTTCAGTATTTTTTTTTTTTTTTCAACAGAACAGCACCTGAAAATTAGAGGCATTATGCTATCAAGTCTTTCGGTGCAGACATTTGACAAACATCAACAGTGACAAATATCTTCTTTCAAAGTTATGATTAGATTTTTAGAGCCTTCATATTTGCAACCTTATATAGGTATTTATTTTCTTTTTCATTCTTCAGATATTTGCCTAGCAATAAATGCAAAAATTGTCAATTTTGCCAAATAATAGAAGTGAAACACTTTTCTTCCTACTATAGGAAATTATGCAGGCTGCTAACATAGCTTGCTTGACATGTTCAAGATTGGAAAGTTCCTAGATAATACTGAAATCTTGAGGCTCCAAAATGACATTAATAACTTTGGAACCTGGTAAGTTGGTGACTCAAGAACTTTGGTTAACAATTAGATGGTGATAATTCATTTACTATCAATGCCAATAACATTGCGACAGCACTTAAGTTGTTGGCGCTCAATAGAATTGATCTACAGTATTTTATAACCAAAACTGAACCCCATCTCTCTAGGTCTAGCACAGCTTGACCTAGATCTAACAGTTTTGTAGTTGACTGGGAATTTTCTAACTTATCACTGAAATCTTGCTCATGAGTGCCATATTTTAAACACATTTCAAATCTTGTGGCCCAATCATGCTTTTTTGTTAACAATAAGTTAGGAGGCAATTTTTCTAGCTCCAGCAGGAATCTTGTGGCTCCAAAAATGGTGGGAAAGCTCTAGTCACAGCTTAAAAAGTAAGATTATATTCCATGCCTGTGCTGAGTGGCACCTAATGTGTCAATGATAGTAGTGACAATTTTCTGGTCCCAAAAGGATAGTTATAGTTGTAGCTCGGAAAACCAGGTTGCAGAGAGTTGGTGAATATTTCAAGTTCTTATGAGACACATCAGCATCAAAATCTGTGTCTTCATGTTACCGTAAAATAGGGTAACTTAGACCACTTTTTTTATAAATGGTGCCATTTTTTTACTAGCTAAATTAAACTTGAATTGAAACATGCAAAATACAGGTCTATACTCTAGCTTCACTCACCATAAATTGCTGGCTCCTGCCTCTCATAGTCTTTATGGAATTTCAAAAAAGTGATGGTCTTTGTTACCCCAGCCCTTGGGGTATCTTAGACCGGGTGGTAAAATCAATTATATTTTTTGGTAAAATAACTCCAGGTTTTGGTGCATTGTAGTAGAACTCTTCTAGTTACATATGCCAATGACAAACTTGAGGAAACTGTCATAGTTTGCAAATGGGGGGCACCGCCCCATAATGAGGGAAATGTGACTACCTAATGGCAGCCCTGATGGGGTAATATTGACTGGCTTGGAAATTAAGTTAAAATTACCATATATAAGACTATTTAGAGTTTGAAACATAAAGAAAAAACATAAATAGGCTGTCAAACATAAAATATGTTATATATGGTAATTTTATATTAACTTCCAAGCCGGTCTATGTTACCCCGTCAGGGCTGACATTAGGTGGTCTAAGTTACCCCATATGGGGGTGGCACCCCCCATTTGCAAACTATGACACTTGCCTAAAATTTGTCATTTGCATATGTAACTAGAAGAGTTCTACTACAATGCATCAAAACCTGGAGTTATTTTACCGAAAATTAAAAAAATTGGAGGGGGTACTCTGACAGGCTTTAAATAATAGCTTTTTTTTCATGGGTCACATTTTTAATTTTTTAACCTATTAGATATGCAAACTTTTTAAATCTTTCTATTGTGTTATGTAGCCTCGGTATTAGGCCTTTAATGACCATTGACAAATGCCCATTAATGCCCATTTGAGTTTTAGGGGCTTTTGTTAAAAAAACAAAAAGTGGTCTAAGTTACCCTGCCGGTCTAAGTTACCCATTTTACGGTACATCATACGGTAGTCTTGTTGGCACTGAATAACGAGCCTGCTGTTGCCTGTTGCCAATTCTTGTTATTTTCATGACTAGTTTGCAGGAAATCTAAAAACCATTATTTGACCAGATCTGTTTGTGGTTGAGCCATGAAAAAGCTCAATCATGAAAAAGCTATGGTATTTGAGGTCTTGATAGAGAATTTGAATGAAGTTTCACTGTAATTCTCCAATTGTCTAGGAGGTCAGCTTCATCTTTACCAATGAAAAGATATTGATCATACAAGTGTTTTGTGTTCCAACCGCTCATTTACTAGCTCCTGCCTTGTTACTAAATGAGAACACACTACCTTCAGTACCTTGTTACTGAATGAGAACACTCAAAGTAAATAAAGCATACTATACCTGACTACCAGATGTCCTTTAATTAATACAGCAGCCTTCTACTTCTAGGAGTTCTAGCATTTATTCTGTATCTGTAATCTTACAGGACGGCTTGTAATTTCACACCATTTTAATTGGGTTAAGTGAATTTACTATAAAAAAGATTGTGGAAAACATACCTGAAACAGAAAGGAATGATTTAGTGACAACCATCATATGTTTTGCAGAAATAAATCATAGTTTAGGTCAATTACTTTTCATTCTATGATGCCTGGTGCACAATTCTATAAATGACATTCTATGCACAATTTGGTGATGACCAATGATGCACTAATTTTTCGATAAGTGAAATTTTTTTTGCCAAGCAAGGTAAATGTAATCAATATTCTTTGTTTTTAATCAATTTCTTTCTTAACTGGAGCCTTTGCTAACTGAGGTTCTACTGTAAATGCGTTTTTGGGGGTGTCCCAAGTAGGGGCCGGTCTAAGTTACCCCACTATACGGTAGTGGCAGAGAAAAGAGTATTTTAGAGTTTAGACTCTCCCTTAAGTTCATATTTGAGTCCTATAAGTATAGTTAGACCATTAAAGTATCATGGATACCATCATACCAGCATTATCATACACAAGAAATTGGTTTAAATCTCCAGTAAATGAGGAAATTAAAAATGAAGCGATTCAAAAAAATCTGTGGTTTGTCACTATGGGCCGCACTCACCGACTCACTCACTCAGTACCTAATAAGTCAATATAAACACATGTTAGTTTAGTAACCGAGTATCATTGTGAAAAATTGTCTTACCTTGCAGGCAGCAGCATCAATTGCTGGTTGGTTATAAAATGATGAAACAGTTCGATTTCTTTCCCTTTCTGAAGATAGCACACCTCTAAATTCAATAAATTGCTGGGTTGTTGAAGACAGTTCCTTCCTGCATTGACATGTTGTTTGTTGAAAGAAAAAAGGTCTACACCGAGGTAGCATACTGATATTTTATTCAGCTATCACACTATAGTGACTAGGTATTAGGTAGGACCGTAGGGTATACGGCAGTTGAAATTAAGTTCTCAGCTTTCACTTTCTGTTTTCACACACTTTACACCAGGGAAAGATGATCTGAAATCAGTAATGTAATTTTTGTAATACAGTAAGATAATATACATTATCTTACTTACTGTATAAGTATATATTATACTTATAAGGCTGCAGGATAAAAATCAATACCATAAAAAAATTTTCATGTGTGAAAAATGTAGTATAATGAGAACTGATAAGTATATATTTATAGAGTATACCTACTTCCTGTAAGTTTTTAGCCTTACAGAATGGTGCTAATCGGGATTTCGCCTTAAACTACAAGGATTTCGTACGAGTAGGACTGACGAATCGTGATGTAACCGCAGGTAACAATGACATGAATAAAATGCAGTCAACTATAGACTATAGTTAGGTGAAATCTATGTCTCTACGTTTACGACCAGCCTGTAATCGCAAAGCAATAGCTTTTCTCACAAGCACCTGGCCACCTGCATTATAGTACCTTCCCGGCTTTTCCTGAGCAACTGGCAGCCCCTCCGTGGCGTAGGCAAGGGCAAAGTACAAATTCTGACTTTTTTTGCGGCTAGGCATCCGATCACGTTCTGAACACATGAAACAGGTGACGTCAATCGACGCTAAGGCGTGTTGCAATGCGCACGGAGAATGCATTTGAATTCAGAAATATGCTTAAGAACACGCAGAGGCTGATGCGCTGCATATATAAATGCAAAATTTGCGTAAGAGACGTATGAATATGTTTCATTCTACTATAATTCAATGGATGTAGGTGAGTGTGTGTTCACAGATTTTGAGTGTTTTAGCTTTTAAGGAGTTTGGGGTTCAATATACATACACCGCTTGAACGTGAAGATTTCTTGACAAACTAAAAATCCTTGATGATGCTTGAACTAAAACAATTAATTAGACTCTGGTCTCATTGCCGACGGGAGATGGAGCGATCAATTGCGCATCTGCAACCTGCGATATTTGACGTCGGAAATAATTTACTAACGCTTAAACATCACGATAAGCCTGTTGCAAGTGACCATGCACTCATGACCAATATTATCTTTTTTATTTGCTTGACAAAAGAAAGTTATCCCTGACGAGTACTTGGCAAGGTAGACTCATATATAGTTCAGCAATTGGTAGACGGGTGTATATATTTTTGCTCGGTGGCGCACAAAGATCAACAAATTAATCAGGTATGAGATTCAACAAATGACACAGTTCATGTACCTACTCCACTTAAATGCCTAAAAAATAAAATACTTTGAATATGACGGTTAAAGATTAATGCGATCTGGGCTAAGGTTGCATATATTAGTTCAACCATACTGTTTGCCGCATTTAGTCGCAATAATTTAGAAATTATTTTTTATGATAGGTGTGTTTAAACGGATAAAATGGTGGCAGCCATTATATCTGGCCAGTCCTAAACGCCAGCGGTTATAAGGTCATTACTCTCGTGGTTGAATTAATGATTACTCTATTGAGGCACCGGCAACTTATGAAGACTGTAGCGAGCGGCGGCCAGAAACTTGTCAAGCGACAAATTCGCGGCTAAATGATTAGCTGCGAATTATCGACAGAAAATATAATCTTTTTAATGTTTTTGTATGCTACTTAAAATTCTAACGTACAGGTACATGAGAAATAATTCTAAAGTCTCATTCACTTCTAATTAACTTCATTAATTTCGATTGCAATCCGTGGTCTAACGACGGTAGCTAACGTTGTCGCAAGCCTTTAGATGCTAAAAGCATTGACGACAATTGATTCATCTGTAAACAAAGAGTTCAACTTTCAAGAGAGAGGCATTGCTTCTACTTTCATCAATATCTTATTGATAAACTTGCAAACTTATAAAAAAACATTTGCGACCCTAATGATTAATGCGTGACCTTTAGGAATTCATCAATAAATTGGGTGGCTGCTCTGAGAAATTGTAATACCCGAGACCGAAATTCTCACCGATTTAGACTCTTTACCGCTTTTAAAGACATATAAAGGCGGCAAAGATTTAAAGAATATTGAAAGTGAATAATGGTCTTGAGTATACGCCTACTGGCCGGTAAAACTAGTAGTGGTCAGTTGTGGCCATTAGTAATGGCTGCCCTAATTGGCCCGCCTACAAGCTCTAGAATTTGGGTTGATTCAGTTGCAGTAGTTTCTAGCACTTCGGAAAGGACAATCTCATGCCAAATGCGATGATCGAAACAATAATTCAGTTCGAATTCATAGAAGCATATACCTTTGTGTATATTTATCGCCATCGGGTATTCCATAGGAAGGTCAACGTTGTAAGCACTATGCTCTGCTGGTGCCAAAATAACCATCGAATTGCGAGCCGTTTTCTCCTCGGAGTGAATGTTGGAAGATTTGCAGGCTGTCGTCACAAAAGCAGGCTGTCGCAGCTGCAGGCTGTTGGCGTCAAGACGCAAAAGAAAAGGAATTGAATATTGAGCACTAAGCAGTCAACTCAGCATTAATATGACTAGCATTTCAACATCCGCGACTTACGTCTTTATCGGGCGACTCTGTGTGTCCACGAAAGCTAGTGAGGGGCACGACTTCGCTTCTTAATGCGGTGGCACAGAAACGGCCGTACACGCTCCTCTAGTCTATCCAAGATGCCTGACAGCCACTAGGAAATTGGAGAGTTGTAAAGTAAAATCTCTTTTATGGCACTCAGAGTTGGTGAATATGCACGCTGCAATGTACATTCATTCTTACTAAATCCTTCGGGTAGCGACACCAATAGGGTTTCCTTACCAACTATTTTATTTCCTAAGTAGCTCCTTTCAAGCTAAGATTACATCATGTTAACTTGAATGTAATGCGTTAAGGAACCAACTCAACCAAGTATCATAACTGCAGTAGGGAAAACCGCAATCATACTGAAACGAAGAGAAATAATAAAAATGACTGTATTTTTAGCGCATTTTCTCATTTATGGAAAAAATGCACTATTGTGCTCGCCATGTCTGTCTGTCTGTCTGTTCGTTCGTCTGTCCGTCCGTCCGTGACGTCAAATTTTTGTCGACGAGAAAATGCGCTCTCTGTCACTCACTGCAGTGAGTACTGAGTTATATTTTTTATAGTTGGTTTGAGGGCCTGCGGTGACAAGGCACACACCAACCTAATCTTTGTCAGAAAATAGCTGTGTAGTCTCATTCCCTCGCCCAATATCGAATAGGAAATCTCATTTAGTTACTTTCAGTCAATTAGTTCAGTTATTTACCCATAAGCTAAAATGTCAAAATTTTGTAGATGTATTATAAATTACAGTTTTAACGGCAATTAGCACATGTCATGATTATACATTTATAACTCCTCGGTAATTTTCATCAAGTCACGCCGCCCCAGTAATTTGCACAATAAAGCTTTTATTGTTTGGTTTTGTAATTATTCTTGATAATTATGTTATTCGGCATTTAAGAAATACGATCCTCATCGAGAGATCAAAGGAGCTTCAATGGTATCCGATTTTAATTGGTAAAAAGTAGAATTTTCTATGGGCTTGGCAGCATGACGTCAATGAAGGGAATTATAACGCTGTCGATGTAACCACGGTTCCAAGGCTTTGGATCCTTTTTGATAGAAAAGAATCGACCAGGCGTTGAGAATATACGGTCATCGTTTTATTTCCGATGAGCTGGTTCGTTAATTGAAAAATATATCTTAATTGTGGGTAATTTTTTCTTCATAGAAAGAGATTTAACCTACTCCTTATAGAATGATTAAACATGACCATATTTGCTCGCCTGGGGCAATTTTCATAAGAAATTCTTAAAAATCAGGCGGACATTTTTGGTTAAGGAAATAAAAAGAAGTGAAAATTAATAATTTCTAATATTGCATTATAAGGTAGTTTGCATCAGTAATGTTTTACACGAACAAAGTTTTTGAAATTACATGAAATAATGAAGCGTGATTATATGGAACTCTATTGTAAAATACACAGCGCTATTCGTTATTAGGCGGTTAGAAGTCCCGCCGAGCCCAAATCAGGGACGTTAGGAATAGCAGTGGCAAGGTCTTGCACTGTGCAGCAGTAGATGGCGCCAGCCTCGTAGTCGCTGTAATTAATGCCATGAAGCCAAGTTAGCTGGTCACAAATGCTGCCGCCCGGACACAGCAAGGGGGCAACAATCTTTAGGTAAGGGTTGTTCACGCCGACGATAGCGGCCGCTTCGTTTGAGGACGGATCAAAAACAACCTGGATCGGACAACATTTTCAGAATGCTGAGCAATGGATTTCTAAGAGCAACAAAATATAGAAATACAATTATTTGAAAAGTCTATTCAAAAGTATTCTTATGACTCTTCTTGCTTTAAATTAATATTTTTTTATAACTGAATTGAAGGAATGACCTCACCTTCCATAAAACATCGGGCGCAGGAATGACCGTTTCATTTTGAGTTAGTCCCAGGAATATGTCAACAGGGTTGCCATTGACGTCGTCCAGCTGGAGGACATCCCAGCCTCCGCACCACACGGCGATGTCGGAGCCGTGAGCCGCTGCCATATCGCGCACGCTGGACTCCAGATACTATGTTGGAAAATATAAAACTTTATAGAAATCTCACAGAGAGGTAATTTTTGCAAGTTTTAGATGTCATAAGCGTAGCATGAAGTTTGTGAGATTTCATGGGCGGGACATCGATGAAAAACCAGGCTCACTGTGGAGCTAATTCGTTATCTAACGTGCATCTCTTTTCTACAGTCTAACTCTTCTCTGCCGTCCACGTCTCATCTTCCGTCCAAATCTTATCTACCGTCTATTTTTCTGCCCCGACTTTAATTCATTAATTTTTTTTGTTCTTGCACCTAGTAGCTAAAGATTAGTTACAGCGGTACGTTGAATTTTATGAAAGATTATGTAGCAAAGTTTACATAGCGGTTACTATGGGTATACTGTGAATGTAACACTGTTCAAACGGCAGGTGGTAACGTGTTCAAAAAATTTAAACACCAATCCAAAAAGTAAAAGACGACGTTTTCTGCTGGAGCGTCGTTGAAGCTAGATATCATGTGGTTCGTGTTCACGATTCACCTTCCAGTTGCCGTTATTGATGGTCTGCCAGAGCGGTGCAGCGTTTATGTAATAGTATCCTGCATCCTGCTCTTGTTCCGTCACAAAGTCCGTACCCGTTGCCAAGAGATTTCGTGCGAAGTATAGACTCTGGTTCACGTTGATCACACTCTGCGTGACAAGTTTATATGGTGATATAATTCAAGTTTGGGGCCACATTTAATTCAAAGGTCAATAACGATTCTAATCGAAATTGGATTCACGATAAAAGTTTGTGTCGCTAATGTAAGAGTACATCTAACGTAAAATGCGAACACATTTCTCGCGAAAGACATTCGGCAATGTGCAAAGTAGAGGCATGTAAAAACCGAAAAAATTACATTCAAGTGTGCACTTAATAACGTTTTTATTAGGCAATGATGTTTTAACATACAGCTATGAACGAAAATGTGTTACGGGTGAGAATTATATCTCAGCCCCGCCTTATGAATTGACGCATGCAACACTGACCGAGTCTCCAAGGATTGTTTCCATGAGGGTGATCTGCGACGCCTGCATGTAGCAGGTGTTGGCAGAGACGGTGAAAAAGCCTGTGTCACTCTTGACGCTCGGTGTGCTTGGGTTTGGGTCTCTAGCTGCAATATTTTCTCCTCGCACAATGTGGTACGAGAAAAGATTGGTCTCGAAAATAGGATCGAAACACACTGTGATCTGTAAAGAAATAATGACCATGAGTAGAACCATTAATTATTTTTATAGTTTCATGTCAAACAGATTGATGTAGATAAATTTGCAGTTCTATTGTTTCAACCAACGTTTGATGTAAGATATGTTATTAGTCCCATTACATCTTGGGCAATGGATTTGGGTAATGAGAAATTAAAATTAAATAATGGGTAACCAAATTTCCAGTGTAGCGCGCATGATGAATATTTCCTGCAATTGCCGTGTTATAATTTATAAGTAACGCCGTGTTAAGTAAACGGAAATACACCGTGTTAAGTAACAGCAACTTACCGTTGAGTAGAAACCATAGCCCAGGACATCAAAGCCAATCTGATGCATATCTCCCCCGGTGCCGCACGGCCCCAACCCTAGTAACAATTGTGGAAGGGGCCCATGTTGGCCCAAGGTGGCGTAACGATATTGGCCACATGTGGAAGTGACATATAGCAGCCTCATGGTTTTTGTGAAAATTCTGCCCAGCTAGGCCATGTAGAAATCACACGATTTCTACATAGAGCCAACATAGCTCCCACATGACAAAACCATGTNATAGCAATGTCATGCACATTCAGAGTAAGATAGCATCAATGTGGGCCCCATATGTTGAACCCGTAATGCCACCTCATTTCCACATTGTCACATGGGCCCCTCATGGGCCCATTGTACAATTGTTACTAGGGAAGTTCTTCTGGAGACTTTCTTTTGGTCGCGACGTGCAGCCAAGCTCCGTCATATTCCAGTCCTGTGTCCCCAAAACATCAATTTGTATGCAGGTATATTGTTGTTAAAGGAATATTCCACGAATTCAGCGAAATGAAGATTACTAAAAATGTCTTCATATTTAAATGTCTTCAACTGCTTGACGCAAAAGGAAGTGGAATTAAAATATCATCGATGTCGTATTTTCCTCGCCAAATTTGCCTTTTCACTCACTTGGCTGTCAATTATTATAATTACGGAATTAATGTTTGAAAAGCTAGAAGAAAATCGAATTCTCAAGTTTGAAAATTCGAGGGGACGAAATAGCTCCAGAAATTCTCAGCATTCCATAGTTTAGGCAAATTTATTCGGCAATATTTAATGAGCCATAGCGCGCTAGCATTTTTTCAGACTAGGAAAATTGTATCGTACTTTTTCCTCAACCAAGAGAATTCGTGGATCTATCCCTTGGGACGTTCAAAGATCTGTCGGTATATACATAAACAAACAAAAAAGATTTAAATATTTTGAAACTATTATAACGAGGTGACTCAAGCGTTTTGAATTTTACTAGTATTGTTACTAGAATTCCTATTCTAATTTTTTCATAGTAACAATTGTGAACGAATGAGAATCGTTCACGGTCTTTTTAGACATTTTTCACTCATTTCAATTTGTTTAAGCTAGGTGATAAATTATACTACATGTATGGGTTTTTAGCGAAGCCGGTTGAATAACTTTGACTTCCAACCGCTTCAGGGAAGATTGGTCTCAGAGAGAGGTGACGAGGGCGATTCCTTTTATGAGACAGCAGTTGTGTCCTGCTAGCCGATCGGTTAAGTTGCTGCTCTGACCATCCTAGTGGTAGCCAGTAACTGTCGATCTGGCATAAAGCTGTTGTCTAGCAGTGTGCCCTCTCCCTGACTGAACTGATTAAGTATTTGCCAGTGTCTGTGCTGCTCCTAACTGTAACCGTAACTGTAGAGTGTAGAGTGCACATTTTAAAGTGCTTATTTCTATTTATTGGAATAAACGTGTTGGAAACTTCAGTGGTGAACTGGAAAGTTGTGTTTTTCAGTTGTGTTCGATTATTTAAAAACGAACTTTTTAATAAGTTCGTGGCCAGCGTGCAACCTTGGGCGGCCATCCGTTGAAGCTAAGGTAGTGAACGTCCGGTCACACAATAAAAAATATAACTCAGTACTCACTGCAGTGAGTCGCAGAGAGCGCATTTTCTCGTCGACGAAAACGTGAAGTCACGGACGGACAGACAGACAGACAAACGGACGGACGGACATGGCGAGCACAATAGTGCATTTTTTCTAAAAATGAGAAAATACGCTAAAAAGACATGCCTGCGCGTCGATGAGAAGCGTGTTGGAAGAGCAAGTGGCTGTGACAGCTTCCAGCCCTAAGGCATCGATCGTGGTGCCCGGACACGCTGCGATCACCTCTTCTCCCTCGGTCAGTCTGAGAATGTTGTACTAGTATAGTATAGTATATAGTATAGTGCAGTGAACTAGTGATGTCGGCGCTAGAGAATATGCCAGTGGCCTGTCGCCGATACTTGAACTTTTTGTGACGTGTTCACAGGAGATTTATAAACAGGTCCTGTGACCGGAACTTTTCAAAACTGATATTGTAACCATTAACGCAACGAAAAAATTAATAATACCAAGTAATTCAGTTGTAATTAGCAGGTAAAGCACGTGACGAAGATGACTTACTTGACGACTCTGTTGCCACCTTCCAGCACGGGTAGCACCGTGCGCTCAGCGGCGACACTGAAGAGCAGCGGCGGGTACGGGGCGGGGAACTCCGTGTCCTTGTCCCACGCACAGTCCGCCATCGCTGCCCGTGGCAATTATTAAATGATATTTTTGCAGAAGAATTGATTACCATGGATACATATTTGAACAAAAAATATCATGAAAAGTATGGATATAGCTACACCAAAATGGCCTTCATCACTAATTTTAAACAAACTTCTTTGGATCGAGATAAGGTTCGAGGCAGTGCAGATACTAATCAGAAGAACAGCAGCTATTTACAAGTCTTAAGGTCAACAAAATCATTTTAAGGATATCTTTGCGAAGACAGTGAAGCAATGGGGGTTTGAAGACTGAGCAGCGCATCTATTGGAAAATAATTAATAAAGTGATACAATTAAAGTCAAACTTTTACCACGCAGAAATGTCGTCCCCGCTACCGAGAGGAACAGTAGAGCGCCGTAAGTGGACAACTTCATCTTAGCTCTCACTGACAAATCAGAAGCTAAACCGTATTTTTAGCATAAAGTAATGCGGATTTGTCTCTTTTAAGTACAGATGCGAACATGCAACATATGCAACTTCTCACAACAGATTGTACAGATGCAACTTCTCACAACAGATTGTACAGATGCAACTTCTTACACCAAGATTTCAGATGCAACTTCTCACAACAAGCTTCCCTTCTCACGATCAGCGCCAGCTAAACAAATTATCCCGGCAATCAACTGTAAACGCAAATATAGAAAAAAAGGAGCTGCCATCGTGATTTTGGTTTGTGCTCACATGACACGCTGAAGGCGACATTATCATTAAGCATGTGACTCACGCTACTGGCGCATGCCTGTTTATATGTGCTGCCATCGTGATATTTGGTTTGTGCTCGCATGACACGCTGAAACAAATATCACAATTGAGCATGTTCTCACGCTACAAGCGCATGCCTGAACGTGCATGCAATTCATGTATTTATCTGGCTAATAGACCTAAAGCATATCTATTTTTTGCCAATATTCGTACCGAAATATTGTTTCAAATAATTTGGTAGGTTCGTAATATCATGTTAGAAAAAATTCATAGGCATTTTTCGAAACTCTTGCCCTACCTCTTAACCTGCCGGCCAGAGTGAAGTTATTAGGTTTTACAGACAATTTTATCTATAGCTTTAGTGATTCACGATAATAAGTTGATTTCGATGTTACATTAATATTTTAGAAGAACTTGGACTTTTTATGACTTACTTATTTTATTCATTTTTTCCTAGTGCAGGGATAATTTTTTGTGTTTGGACTTCTATTTATTAAATTAATGCCTAAACGAATAGCGGGTGAAACTTATCAGGTTATATCTCTGGTAGTCGATGTTTTGCCAAGACTAAATATAGTTGAGTGAAACTAAGAAGCTGTGATTTTGTTGCAATCTCAGCTTAGGCAGTAGGTTTTCGTGCACTTCAGAGAGTCATTATCAATTTCATGCTGAAGGCGCAACTTTCAGTTCGGTACGCAGCGCCTTTGCCTTCATGTGAATAAGACTTTTAATTTGGTCATCTCGGAGCGCGGCGGTGCTGGTCGTTGGGGGAGCGCAGCTCCCCCAACCAATCAGCCGCGAACCACTCTGCAAGTTTGTCTTCCTCCGGCCCTGCATAAAACCTGCCGTGCACCACCAGGCTGCGGATCGAATAAGAATTCCGGGCACCGTTAAATTACGTAATTTTACGTTCACCACATCTGAGGTTAGGTTTCAGATAGCATAGTTCTGTTCCAAAATGTATCGCCCTTCGACGAGTGGCCGTTCGACCGAGGGCTGGTTCGACGCACGGCCTAGATATGATTGTCCAGAAGTGTTGAAGACTAGGTTCCGGAAGTTACATCCATGATAGTCCATTACATCCAGGGCAGTGGTGGTCTTCTGCAGGCGATCCGTCGTTGGGAGTTTCTCTATAGTTTATGCCAACAGTGGATATTTGCTCAACGCTTCTCATTATTCGGTTGCGCGGTCGAGGGACGTGAAGGTTACAATGTGCAGACCATCAGGTCGTGAGGTAATTATGTTCCGTCAAACTGGTGTGTGATTAAAGAGAGCTGGTGTAAGTAGAGCATCAGTCGAGAGTTCTTGCAGTAAATTTCGTAAAGTTAAATTACGCTTGAGGTTGTCCCTAATCAAGATTACACGGGGATATCCCCTAAAGATCCTAGCGAGTGTTGCGTCTGGGTTCAGTATTGGTGGGTTTGGGAGGAAATTTTAAACCCAAGAAATATTCGTTAAGAGATAAATCACTCTCAGCCAAAGGTTTTGTGATAAAATTCGGGATGACCGGTCAGGGAGAGTTATATTAACTATGATCAAAGGCGGGAATAATAATAGGACATTGAAGTAAATTCAATTTAATGGGTAGGCAGTTCAATTTTCTTCGTAAATTTAAGTATTTGCGATGCTTTGGAACTTGATCTGCGCTCCAAAATGCATCAGGTAAAGAAGTTCAAATTAGTGGTGCACCCTTGGAAATGCTGCACTGATGAAATTGAGAAGTAAAATATTTTTATTTGTGAACATTTTTATAAAATAAGAAAACTTCACGCATTTTCCTTGACATTTTAACCAGACTTAGATGGGGATATTTCCACTATCTCCATTAAGTTTAAAATCAATGCCGTTGCCAACTCTCATGGCTTAGGCTTCCAAATTCAATATACATTTGAAACGAAAATTTTACACACTTCAAGCAATTGTAATTATTAGCCAGTAGAAGCGAGAAATATGATTATGCTGAAATTGAACCATCATTCTCGAAGTGATTCGATATTATGAGGTTAGAAGTCCAGCCGAACCCAAATCAGGGACGTTAGGAATGGCAGTGGCAAGGTTTTGCACTGTGCAGCAGTAGATGGCGCCAGCCTCGTAGTCGCTGTAATTAATGTCATGAAGCCAAGTTAGCTGGTCACAAATGCTGCCGCCCGAACACAGCATAGAGGGCGCCGCGGTCAGGTAAGGATTGTTCACTCCGACGATGGCTGCAGCTTTGTTTGAGGACGGATCATAAACAACCTGAAACAAATGTTGTAATTTGTATTAAATGACTAGAAATTCGTAAGCGACAGATCTGCTATAAATAAATAGCAGACAGATTGAAAAAATAAGACCATAAAATGATGATTTCATTTCTCAGTTTGACGAAAATAATCGTTAACAAGGATTTAGAAGTCTTGACGAAAATCAATATTCAGATGACGAAATTCAATTATGTCTGCTTAACATAAAACTGTAATTGTGTTCACTCACCCTCCACGTAATATCAGGCGCTGGAATGACAGCTTCACCCCCAGTTAGTCCCAGGAATATGTCAACAGGGTTGCCATTGACGTCGTCGAGCTGGAGGACATCCCAGCCTCCGCACCACACGACGATGTCGGAGCCGTGAGCCGCTGCCATATCTCGCACGCTGAACTCCAAATACTGTAAAGGAGATGAAGAAATTGAAGAAAGAGGATTAGAAATTGCAAATTTTATGGAGAAGATAACAGTAATTTCAAAGAGCGCGGCCTGTACCAACATCAAGGTCGTAAGAATGTATGTTACTGCATTTCAATGTTTAGTATTGGCAAGGTTCCCCTCAAATATAAATTTGTTAAGCCGGGATCATGAGTGTTACGGAGTCAAACCCCAGATGGGCAAAAAGTAAAAATTAATGTTAACTTAGCGCAAGAAACCTAGAGCTCGCGATAATGACTAACCTTCCAATTGCCGTTATTGAAAGACTGCCACTGCGGTACCGCGTTGATGTAATAGTAGGTAGCATCTTGCTCCTGCTCCGTCACAAAGTCGGCATCAGCGGCCAAGTGCCCTCGCGCGAAGTAAAAACTCTTACCCACGTCGATAACGCTCTGCTTAACACATTCACGTCAATGTTAATGAGAAAGAGAGAACAATTGCACGAGAATCAACGAAGATCCGGTTTTATCAAACATGGATTCACCCCATCAAAAATCGAAATAGATACACGGCAAACGTTCATATCGGCCATGCTTTTCTATCAGTTACTGTTAAACAAAGGGTAAAGAAACTGGTTACCTTGAAGAAACTGGTTACCTACGCTGATACCTTGAAGACTATGTCTATCTATACAAAAGTAATATTGCATTTTTTGTCAGCAATAATATAATTATGCAGTAGAACAGGCGTCAAGAGAGAAGGCAATGCATTCAACGCTGCAACATATGACGCATGCGACTCTGACCGAGTCTCCGAGGATGGCGTCCATGAGGGCGATCTGGGAGTCCTGCTGGTAGCAGGTGTCGGCAGAGACTGTGAAGAAACCTGTGTCGCTCTTGAAGCTCGGCCGGTCAGGGTTGGTGTCTTGAGCAGCGATATTGGCGCCCCGCACGATGTAGTTCGAGTAAAGAGTGGTTTCGAAAATTGGGTCAAAACACACGGTGATCTGAAAAAAAATGAAACGGAAACTGGATCCTCACCAACGAAGTCGATTTGAAACTACAAAAAATAATTCCAGATTTGATTTTTGAATTTCCGACGCAATTAACTTGTCAGACAGTCATGGTCTCTTGGGACATGTTTGGGGTTTCGATTGCAATACTGAATTAGGTGATGAGGCGCAAAATGTAAAACTACACGATTATTTCAAGAAATTTAGTTGAACTACAATATTGGCTTCTCTTTACCGTTGGGTAGAAACCATAACCCGGGATAGCAAAGCCAATCTGATGCATTTCTCCTCCGGAGCCGCACGGCCCCAAATTTTTCTGGAGACTTTCTTTTGGTCGCGACTTGCAGCCAAGCTCTGCCAGGTCCCAGTCCTGAGACAGGAACATCAATATTCAGATGACGGAACGAAAATTTTATTCATAATCGTAACTCATATTGAACGGTCCTTTGTAGGTACAACAATTCTTTAGGAGCCACAATATTAGCGTAATTAATGTGAAATAATTATTTCGTTCATGAATGTAGTATTCCTTTCTCACTATCAAGGTTCAAGGTTTATGTAAACCTCATGAAGGGAATATGAAGTCATTTAAGATGAAGTGGGAAGGAACAGGACGGGTTAACAATCTCAGGGCTCATTGTTCGTTTGTCACTGCAAACTTTTTCACTATCTCGCCAGCTGCTCATTGTAAGAACAGGACCGAGCTTGAGATCCAAACAGTGGAAACCATAAAATGTATCTAAAAGTTTCAGGATGTGTCACTGTCAAACTCACAGCATCGAAATCCTAGTAACATCTTTTATATTTGTGTTCTGTATTTGAAAGGAAGCACATATTCTGGTGCTTCAATTAATGATGTCAATACAGAGAAAACTGATTTTACTATTATAACGACTACAATGCATTGAGTAATAATATAATGACTATGAATATGTCATAATTATAGAGAATGCATGCCTGCCCGTTGATGCGAAGCTTGTTAGAAGAAGTGCACGTGGCTGTGGCAGCTTCCAGCCCTAAGGCATCGATCGTGGTGCCCGGACACGCTGTAATCACCTCTTCTCCATTGGCCAGTCTGAGAATGTTGTACTAGTATAGTATAGTAACAGTAATAGTAATAGTATAGTATAGAGTAGTGTAGTGATGTCGGCGCTGAAGAATTGGCCTGATGTGGCCTGTCGCCGATACTTGAATTTTTTTCTGACGTGTTCACAGGAGATTTATAAACAGGTCCTGTGACCGCAACTTTTCAAAACTGATATTGTAACCGTTAACGCAACGAAACTATTAATAATACCAAGGAATTCAGTTGTAATTATTAGGTAAAGCACGTGACGAAGATGACTCACTTGACGACTCTGTTGGCACCGTCCAGCACGGGTAGCACCGTGCGCTCAGCGGCCACACTGAAGAGCAGAGGCGGGTACGGGGCGGGGAACTCCGTGTCCTTGTCCCACGCACAGTCCGCCATCGCTGCCCGTGGCAATTATCGAACGTCAAGTTAATCAATTTTTCTGAACCCGTGTGAAGGTAATCTAACTTTTAAGGAATCCAAAAATTTGCTGATAACGCTATATTGAAATCGCTACATCACCAGTTTGAGGAAGTTCACATTTTAATTTCATTTAAGGGGACCGGCTACCCTAAAACCGAGGTAGCCTATAACTCCTACAGTTATTATCCGATCATCATGAAACTTCACATACATACGTAAAATGTAAAAATAATAACATTTTACTTGTATGAATTTTTCGCAAAAATTGATAGAAAACGTGATATTCATAGAAAACGGACAAATAACGGGTACTATAGAAAATCTATCTCCTCCCACAAATATCGTCCTACAATATCGAGACACATATCATTAGATTTGTAAAGACCATACCTATCAACTCTGCCATCCCTTTTTTCATTTTCTCCATAGTTTCTTTTATGCGCGTTTTTCCCATTTTTTCACTTTTTTCACCCCCTCCCCCCCTTCTCCCCCATATATAAGACGGACCATGCACAAATTCAAAAAAAGCGATGGCTAGGTCGATAGATATGGCCTTTACGAATCGAATGATATAACTCTCATTGCTGTAGCTTGAAAACTGTAGGAGGAGATAGGTTTTCCGTGACAATAAGTTGAACTTTTCAGGACGGCGCGACAAAGTTTCGTGCGCCTCGAAATAGGCACTCAATGTAGCATGGATACCAAACTACAGGCTTCTGTTGCTTAATCCACTCAATGATGCTAGCAGCAACTTGTAGCGCACCTCTACGTACAATGTTAGGAGGGTAACTGAGCTCAGATGCCAGATACACCAAGATATGTAGTCTTGCCGCTATAATTTTATTAGGTCTATTTAGTGAAGGAACTCCACCCCCCGCCCCCCATTAAAGCACGGCCATCTGCGTCAATATTGCCGTACATGGATCGCAGTAGTATCGTTGGAAAGCTCAGAATGTCAGCTTTAAGATGAGACTAAGCATGTAACTGCAACACAACTCAAGTAGAAACTATATTCAAAGGTTTCAGCCGCTAATTACTTTATATCTAATTACTTAAAGAACTCTCCCACCCGCTTCCCTTTAAAGAGACGTCATGAACGTAAATATTGGCGTACAGCGATGGCAGTGGTACCATTGGAAAGAGCAGAATTCCAGCTTTCAGATGGGCACAAAAACCGAAAAACGCCAAAATTGAAAATTTTAGGGTAGCCGGTCCCCTTAAATTGCGAATGCACTTAAACTGAACCCGTTTGCGGGCAAGTTACTATGTATCATTATTTACAATATCCTCCTTAAAAGACCCTCAACAGCCTTCAGTTTGAGGCTACGTTATCATGCCTTTGCCAGTCACCAATCATTTGACCATCGTTCCTTTCATCCCTACCATGCCCAAGAACTAATATACGATCATTTAAATGAAAGTTTAGACCTGCCTGGCATACAAAATTGATGCTCTTTTAGCAATTTTTTATCAGCTGAAGTAGCAATATTCATTTATTTAATTAAAGTAATTTAATGAAATAGTAGTAAATTAAAGTTTGATAGTTACTACCCTTTTCATTTGCATCTATAAATGTAAATAATGTGAGAGAGTTAAGAATAGCTGTGTTTTCTGGAAAAAAGATCGAAATGACTCTAAAAATGGAATATCCCTCTTCGTAAATTGTTTTAATAGCCTTACCACGCGGAAATGCTGTCCCAGCAACCATTAGAAGCAGCAAATAACTAGATAACCCCATTGTTGCACGTAGCGACAAACCAAACCTCAACCTTCTTTTCGCCAACAAACAATGCGAATTCGACTTCTGTACAGGTGCTATCGTGAGATCGCAGCCAGTGCCAACACGTGTTATTTCTCACGACGACCGCACCACATGTTCTGTTGGTTATCATTCGCACGAGGCTACAGAGCACAACTAACGTGCCATCATCGTGATTTAAGGCTTGCACCTGTTGAGCCGAGAGCCATGGCCTCGTGACTCACGTTATCGGGATAGTGCTAGAATTGAAGGCTGTTAGATCCACTACGTGGAATAAACACAATATTGAATAATAGAATAAGGATAATAACAGAGTTTTCCAAGAAACTTTACTATATTCTTCGAAGTGCACTACCTTCCATACAGTCATATCACAGTGACCGGGGCAATGAGCCTCTGTTCAGTCAGAGTAAATTGGACGCCAGTACTCTTCCTGAGGAGGCGCGTCCCACGAGAAGACGTCTGCAGGCTCAGCCACGACAAATATAAATTAATTAATTGCCATCGACAAGCCGCCTACAGCGTCACCTCAACCAGTACAATAAGAATCACACTCAACGTTAGAAAACATACAAATATTGGAATTTTACACAGAAATTGGAATGATAAGTATCAATATCTTTCATCTGAGATGCTTACAAGATACATGGATAGCTGGGCATACCCTCAGTCTTATCTTTTAACAGGGAGAGCAAGGTTGCAGGAGAAATAAGTGAATGACTAAAGTGAAATAAATGCCACGGCTTGGAAGTTGCCAGCTCAACAGCCCTGCATAAATGTATTTATTAACACCGTAGTGCATTGAAGTAAATCTGGAGCTCGTTCGCGGTTTTATAAGAGTTACCAATTCAATGAGATGGGTAGAACAAATTTTTAGAGAAGTATCTGGATGCTGAACGCGAACATAGTTTAGTACGACAAATATAATAGATATTAAATAGTCTATGACTAAAAAACGGTGAGCATGGAGATATCTATGGTCTTCAAAGGAGGAAACTGGTCCTGTCTAGCACTTCGTTCTCACCGGCAATCTTCGACTCGTTACTTTTATTGGCAAAGCAGTTCCGCTTCTCTTTTCTTTATCCACGCACAAAGCAACTCCTACAACGAGAATATGATATGGGGAAAAGAGATAAAGACCTTCGCAGAGCTGCACGGCGGAAGAATATATGTGGGTAAAATGAACACAATTTCAGTACTCACTGTACGCCAAATTTGTTGTTTGTATAAACGGCGATGAAACGACAAATAATTTAATGATGAAAATAGGATAATATATAGACTACATGTAATAGAATTCATTATAAGAGGTAATAGAATAAAAATTATAATAGTTAAGACACACAACAATTGATATAATACTGAACTTAGCGAGGTGGAAAGACGATGTCCTTCAGGGAAAATATTAACGAAAATTAATTAAAGTTTAGAATGAATAAGTTTAGAATTAGAGAATTAAATTTTAAGTAGATAATATAGCTGTTGGATTTTTCATTAATAGGTTTTGTTCTACGAGTGAAAAATTATAAATTCACAGAATATAAGTACCAGCACGATGAAGAACCTCAATTGTAGCATCTGACGGTACTCAACAAGTCGAGTCAAAACAACCCTCAATGCATTCTTGTTCAGTTTTTAGTTGGCGAGCTTTTGACTTAGATAAAGAGCAAAAATTTGGTGAGGAAAGTAGAACTGCATGAGAACAGAGCAACTGACGGTAGTTTGCACGGGGCGATTGGTAAGATAATGCGTGAATTGTAAACTGCTCGCATGTAAAATTTTAAGAGGTTGTCAGAGAGGAAAACTTCCCTGCATCTTTTGAAGTAAGAACATTCGATCAAGTTGCTGTAAACAAATAATAATTCCTACGTCTATGTACAAAAAAAAAAACAATCAATAATTCAAAACATATAAAGAAATATTTTCACAATGAGAAAAGAACTAGAAGAAATTATTGTTCAGTGAGAATTTTACAGAATGCAACAGCGATAACTAAAGGACAATTTTTCCACTGCAAGTGACGAGTCTTTTCAAGTAGAAATGAAGTCTGTTGTTCCTCGTGAGGCCGCCGAAAAGCAACATCCATATTTCATCTAAAAATATCTTACTAATATCAACTGGTTCGTCCGATTTATTGCAAGGAACTCAAAATTCGAGATTTCGACTCAAACTTTTCATGAACAATAAAAAATACGTAGGAAACGTCCGAATAATGACATAACACACAAAATCGTCCGTTCCTCGGCAAATCATCTTCAAATAAAGCAATCTATTTTCATATTGTGTAGGTAGCCAATGGCAAGATGCGCATTTGATAAGAAGGCTATAAGCAGCGATCCTACCTTCACGAAATTGATCCTTGGTAATAACAAATTGGTAGAGTGATTTTGACATTATCTGGGAAGTGAGATTGATACCTGAGCAGCACCAGCAGGCCCATCAGCCACCACATCCTGACACAATTGAGGAGTACGAAGGGATGCATCCACACCTGACTGGCACGTATTTATCCTGACGTTAATATTCATCAGAACTACTACAAATCCTGCTGAGAACAAAGATCTTGTCCGGTCTCGTCGGCAGTGTTGGTTCTAAACTAGGTATGTGTGGACGGGCACTGACATTAAAGCACATTTCAGCGTTACAAGACGCTGTTGGAAGTGCAGATTAGGTTATGTTTCCTTATGTTACCCCACATATTTCTCATGTATTTAGAAACTTTTTGCTGACGAATAGAGATAGCATGCTGGGCATTTTCTTAAAGTGACTGCGTTTGAAGATTGGCATGCGTAGGAGCTAGGCGTGTTGTTAAGGCGTATCGACGGACAAGGAGCGAGTGATGGTCTTGTAGCAGGGGCGGCAGACGGGGGCGGGAGGCAGGCTTAGGTGACCAGGCAGACTGGCGCGCTTGTCGATGCAGCGCGTGCAGAACACCTCGCCGCACATCCAACAATGGTGCTGAATAATAATCAAAACGTACATTTAGTAGGTACCGGTAATCAGTATCTATGGGTTTATTATAAGAAAAATTGGCAAATTTAATTATTAACATCACAAGCGATCCCTATGATTTATCAACGCGCTAACATACGAGTACAAATGATTGGTATGAAGAAGCCTATTTCGTTATTTTCTTTCTGGTCACAAAATTTATAAGCGTTTAGAGCTGAAATTCTAATTTACTAATCCAAAAATTGGGCTGCATTTATCAGCAGTATTAGATCTGTTCTTATTAGACTCATGAAAGAAATGCAGGCGAGGGGCACTACCTTCCTGCTGGCGGCGTTGAAGGGCGTGCTACACGAGCACTCGGTGACGCAGCGCAGGCTCTGCCAGTCGATGGCCACGTCACTGATGACGGAGCTCAGGGCGCTCCTGCTGCTCACAGCCTGCGTCGGGCTCTGTGTTGTTGGTTCAAATAAAGTCTTTAAAGCAGTCCTAATAAAGCAATAAAAATAGAAACATAAACTGCTTTGAAAAGGCAACCTAAAACAACTTAATTGAAGCTTTGACGAAGTAAGAAATGAAAGTTTAATACGTTAGATTGATTGATTGTAAAGGTTAATTTTAACACCGTTTTAAATGTAAATTCAAAGACGTTATATATACAGACCTTTATTTCTGAAATAATCGTACTCGCACATAAATATAATTTTGAAGTAGAGGAATGCAATGTCCGATGGAAGGGAAGATATTGTAAGAAAGTGCATAATAAAGGAATAAGTACCAGTGCCTGTAAGAAAGTACATAATAAAGGAATAAGTACAAGTGCCTGTAAGAAAGTCCACAATACAGGAATAAGTAGAAATGCATGTAAGCTGAAGTACTGACCAAAGGCTGTGTAGTTGTCAGGACGACAGGCGCCGGGGAAGGTGCGATGGCGGTGTTGCATTTATCAGGCGAGGTCTCGATGAGTACAGGGTTACCGCTGTGCTTGTTGCTTAAACCTAGCGAGCTGAACGCGCCTAGAGGGTCGTTCTTAAGGTGACCGTTCTGCAGGATCAATATTTATTAACATCAAAATTAACATTCAACATACAAAGTCATACAACATCGACATTAACATTCAACATACAACATCAACATTAACATTCAACATACAAAGAAATTAGCAGGAATGAAACGACAATCTGTGAATGATTTACGGAGGATTTTTTTTAACATCGGTAGTATGGTTGCAGCCTCATACTTTTCTAGTGCCTCTTTGAAGAATAAAAAAAATACGCAATTAAAATAAGAGAGATTGGTAACAAAACGAAGAACGATTGAAAAAATTGTCATTTTTTGGTAGTAGAGCTTGAATATGTTCGGACGAATCACTCCATTGATAACAGCGCGAAAACTCATTGAGGATCGCGGCAGTGCAAAGAAATTTAGATTCAGATTATCAAATAGAACTATGCGCCGCCATTTTATGCAAAAATTGTATGTAGTATAAGTTACACCCTCCTATCGTATCAAAGAATAGAAGGATATAAGTAATTTACAATAATGGAATGAAGTATAGGTTTAGCATTCCTCAGTTAACACAAAATTGAAGAAGACAAATAACTTCAATAGCGCATTTCTTCTCTGCATGCGAAAAATGGAAGTTTTTATGTACTGATCACCTGGTCGAGAGCTGCGTCGACGAGTCTGTTATCGAGCTGCTCTTTGATCTGGTCATTGCCGTGGGAATCTCCGTGTTTCTTACGCAGTTGGTCGGACAGCCATCCAATTCTCTAGGAAATGGATAAAATAATACAATTACTTCATGAGAACAAATTTACTTTCTATACATGATATCTTTTGGTCAGATAGCAAACTGAAGTTGAACATAAACTATTAACATCTAATTATGACAGTTTTAAACAAGCTATTGACTGACTTAAACTTCAGAACGACTTCCCATCCATTGAAGGGTTCGAAATATTCGCCTGGAGAAGAGTTGCTATATTGATGTGAGAGGGAATAATCAACATTATGTAGAGTTGGGAGTCACCTTGCTGAGGAACATGGCCTGGGCTTCAAGGGCTTTGCTGTGGTCCTGCGTGGCACTGAGCAGGTCACAGAGCGGCTCTCGTGGGTGCACGCCGCTCCAGTACCGGCAGTACAGACCTCGCCAGAACCTGCACGTCGTCAATATAACTTTCATAGCCGCTACGACTTTCATATTTGATACAATTTTACTATTAGATACAACTTTCATACATGCTACGATTTTTCTATTAGCTACAATTTTCACATTAGATACGAATTTCATTTTCGCTAAAGCATTCACTGCGACACCCAGATTTTCTACTATTTTCACGGAATTTATACCTGTTATCTCTTAAGCTTTATCATATAACCAAGAAAAAATCATTACATGAAACAATCGAATGGTCGAAAATCAAGGCAACAAGTCCTTCATTAGGCAGAAAATCTACTGCTTTCTGCGCTCCCTCCAACCTACAGCTAACAAAGGGAATAATCTTAGGATCTTAGCCCAGCGGAAGCCAACAAATGAAAATATTTTTACGATGATGCAACAATTACCCTTCTCTTTTTGAGAGTGTTTCACTTCACAATCATGTTAGAGCTTCAAACCTAATGGTCTGCCTGATTTATTCCACAGAGATTTTCCCAGAAATTGAGCCTAAATAATGGCGAACTTTTCGGCCACCCTTCTTGCTCCTGCCTATTTCCACCCTCTTGCGGTGGCCATTCCCCATATCAACGGAGCAAGAAGGAATAGCAACAATTCACGTAAGTTAAATTGGGAGAACGTACAGACCCTGTAAGTAGTATCCATTTACTGGACAGTCATGGGTTAGTTGTAGTTCCTATACTGCATTTGAACGATAATAAGCTTGACATGATTTTAGGGTGATGAGAGTGTTGTCTACTGTGTCCAAAAGGCCGCCACGCGATTGTGGAGGCCTTTTTTCCGGATCAGTCATAGGAGCAATGCGACAGGCAGGTTCAGTTTAGCATCAGTCTTCAGGGTAACGTGACTGTAGGGCTTAGTTTAGCATCAGTCGTCAGGGTAACGTGACTGTAGGGCTTAATTTAGCATCAGTCGTCAAGGTAACGCGACTGTAGGTCTTAGTTTAGCATCAGTCGTCAGGGTAACGCGACTGTAGGTACGCGACTGTAGGTCTTAGTTTAGCATCAGTCGTCAGGGTTACGCGACTGTAGGTCTTAGTTTAGCATCAGTCGTCAGGGTAACGCGACTGTATGAGTTAGTTGAGTAAGAGTGCCTGAGAGCTCACTGCAAAGCCTGAGGAGCGAGTGAGGGCGTGAGGAAGGTAGGCAGGATGTCACTGCGGTAGAGGGGGTTCGTGTGCTCCATCACCTGGCCCGCGAGGTACGACCACAGCGACACAGTCCGCTGTGATAATCTGTACATCAAATCAAATATTAGTTTAATATGTAAACAAATTCTATTATGTTATTAATACATAAAAAATATATATACTAAATTACTCCAAATTTTCTCCTGCATGGAACGTTGTCTTGTAATTTAATTGACAGTAAACTAGAAGTTTATTAAAATTAGAATTGAAATTTATTAAAATTCCGATAAAATGTGATATTCGGCAAAAGATTTTTTGCTACCAGAAAATATTCCAACGTCACAATGAATTTTAAAAATTGAGATCAATTTGCAAAATTCCTGAATTTTAGCCTAAAATGGCAACAAGTCTACAACTACAGCCATAATTCCTCACATAAAATTCAAAAAGGAGCATTTAGAAAAATTTCATTCAATAACATCCTTGAAGAAACATGGGCGCCTGACTTGAGATCTAATCGGTCCTTCTGGCAGTTGCCGACGAAGGTGCCGAACTGAGCGGAGAAGACGTGGTCATGTAACACCAGCAGGTAGCGCTCGTTGAACTCGAATGACGAAGGGTACATCTGCTGCAGCTGCCACACGCACTCTGTAAGAGGAGAGCTGTTACACACCTAAAATACAGTGTACTTAATACGACGAAGGGTACACTTGTTGCAGCTGCCACACGCACTCTGCAACAATAGAGCTGTTACACACCTAAAATACGGTCTACTTAATACGACGAAGGGTACACTTGTTGCAGCTGCCACACGCACTCTGCAACAATAGAGCTGTTACACACCTAAAATACGGTGTACTTAATACGATGGAGGGTACATCTGTTGCGTTACACACCTAAAATACGTGGATTGGAAATAATCCTCCAGTCATAGTAACTATTGTGCCGGCATGAATAAAAGTTATTATAAATATTGTTATAATAGTTATTGCTGACTTTTGACGAAAGCAATTACTAATTACAGCATTGAAAAGTGACGGTTAGGCATGAGCGTATATTATTGTTATCCTTATTATTGTTATTATTATTATTACTAAAACGTTCACAATGCAATAGTAGAAATACTTGGAAGTGGAGAAAAGATCAATTACTATCCGTATTATCAGAATTATATTCTTTATTGACTATTTGTATAGCGAATTTCTGCACTGCATTTCAAACGTCTGAAGAATACCGTTCAATGAAGAATACCTTTCAATATTACAAAGGAGAACTGACCTAAGAACTGCGTGAAGATGGGCGACACTTCTTTAGCTTCGCCTTGGATGAGGCCGCTGCGGTCCGTGAACTTGTGTCCGAACGACAGCCAGTCCTTCTCTACCAGAACCTGCAGGTATAAACTCGGTTAATATCACATTCAGTCGTTTGATCTCATTAAAGTTATCTTCACCACAATTAATTTCCGTATTATCAAAGAAAGATTTATTCGTATTCTGAAGACCAGTTAACTAGCGTTGGTATGCAATGGGATAATAGTTATACTTCACTCTGGTCAGGAAACGAAAATGACCCGACTAAAAATGAAATTTAATTGTATTCCATTCATCATAGATTTGAATCGTCCTTGCTATTTATGATTAATAAATAAGAATACCTGGAAGCCATGCATGGTACGGTAGTAGGGGTCGAGGAGTATCTGAGCAAGAGCACATGTCTGAGCAGTTCTGTCCCAGCCATCAGAGCAGTGCACCAGCACGCTCACCCCTGACGCGATCTCCTTGGCTACGAGCACGCCGCTCTCGAGCACAGAGCGCACGTGGCGCAGCCACCCGCTGCCTTCCACGCCACTCAGCCATGCGCTCATTGACGGGCTCACCAACTGGCAAGCTGTGCAACATTTGTATGATGGTAATATTATTTCTGAACAAAGTTACTTCATCCATTGGGATGCTACCAACTTTTGTGAAGACTATTCAGAAACAATAGAGTGGAGAAAACTCCCATAGTTGCAGTTTGATTCGACAGTATATCTAAAAAAAACAAATTACTTTACATTGGACCTTCCCTAAACTGATTAGGCAGAGTGGAAAACATGAGACAAAATATGATGAGTACCAAGGCAAGAACAGCAGGTAGACCAAGCTCACTATCAATAATCACTATCAATAAGTTTTGCAAGAAAAAACTATGAATAAGAGAACATAGATCAATGTCAATAAGTTTAGCAAGAGAACACTATCAATAAGGGAACGCTATCAACAAAAGAACGCAGCTCACTATCAATAAGTTTAGCAAGAGAGCTCCGCATGACGTGGATGTTCTCGATGCCTGTGAAGTGAAACTTGATGTTCTCGTAGAAAGCTTCGTTCTCGTAGCCTTTGCCCGTCGCACGGTTGGCCATGGCGTTGATCTGAGGCAAGGGGTACAGACAATCAATGCAAATTCCGATGTTAATATTTTACTGAATAGCTGAATTAAAGGAAAATGTCGCTCCTTGTTACAGGAGGAGAGTCTGAAGATATGAACGAAATTGCTCTGGTGTCTCATTGGACACCAGAGCGGTGTCTAATGAGAGCAAGTAGTTACAATAATATGTACTATGAACAATTGTTGCAGTAATGATAGTAATACTTACAGCTATAACAATTATCATAAGAGCATTGATAATATCAATTACAATAATGATAATACTAGTTATGTTTCTACCCAAAGCCGGACCACACTGGTGCCTCCACACTACAAATGAGGGGAAATGGGCGGGTGCGTCGGACTCTGCTTCATTTGATATAAATTTACATGGAGGTTTTGAGTTTAGTTTCTACAATTGAATTCGGCGCGGGTCGTATGTAATACGTAGAAGAGTACAGGAAGAATCGCGTTTGTCTTCTTTGTACATTTATTCAGCGGCTAGGCCTACGTTCTGTACGTGCGACAGGGCATACGTGTGACCCATCTTTGGTCTGGGACAGCTATGACCCACCTTTGGTACACCTATGACCCACCTTTGGTCTGGTACACCTATGACCCATCTTTGGTTTGGTACACCTATGACCCACCTTTGGTCTGGTCCACCTATGACCCACCTTTGGTCTGGTGTCGACGACGGTCATGTGTATGGCGGCTTTGTTAGCCTTCCTGATGGCCTCCAGCATCTGCTCGTCCTCGAGACAGCGCGCGCTGAAGCCTGACAGCGGCTGCGAGCAGCGACATAGCGCCGCCTGCACAGCAATTAAATACATTTATAATGTGACACTAACATCTTATCAATTAATATTGCATGGTAACAGTATGCATCAGTAAATGTAGGAATACATGGACATTTAGTTTATCTCTTTGAATACAGGGACATTTAGTATATCTCTTTGAATACAGGGACATTTGCTTTATCTCTTTGAATACATGGACATTTAGTATATCTCTTTGAATACAGGAACATTTGCTTTATCTCTTTGAATACATGGACATTTAGTATATCTCTTTGAATACAGGAACATTTAGAGACAATCTCAGCCTGATGGTGACTGCTATGTAAGCGTTCATCAACTGGTTAATGTTAGTTGAATTACAGTGAATTAATTTTCTCATATTTTCTGTTCGTTAATCGAAATTCATACAACAAGTTATTGTATTGGAGAAATAATGAGGGTAAAGGTGATCCTGACTTGGTTGGTGTGTAGGTAGGTGAGCACTGGGAAGCGGCCTTTGGAGCGGAACTTGGAGCTTCCGATGATGACATTTTTGGTCGCAGAGGCTGGCACGTACAGCTCCTTGGGGTACGTGTCGCATATCTGGAAACAAAGTAAACACTTTTAAAAACTACGAATAATACAACACAAAATCTTATGAACTATTAAAATAGTAAGTGGGATCTCAAAGACAAAAGAACAGTGGGAGCAGTGTTAAGATAAAATAATATGTATTTAAAAATTACTTTTTAAAGACAACACTTCTAAAGAATCCAGTGTCTGCGATGTTACACATGTACAATGAATTTATTACTTTATTTGTAAATATAAAAAAAAATTATTTCAAAATTTCTTTAAAATGTTAACAAAAATTTAAATCGAAAAAAATTTTTATTCTGACAATTGATTCATGCATTGTCACCAACTTTACGCAAGTGTGCAAAATTTCAGATCGTTTGGACAAGTAGAATTGTGTCAAATATCGATTGTAAGATTTATAGCAGACAGACAAACAAACAAGAAGTGAAGTTAAAGAGAAGTGAACTAAATTAGTAACCAATCGGTCAGTAATTAGGGAAAGCTTCTTGATAGCTATAAAACAGGGAGCATTACGACACGCCAGTGAACCTGAACCATAGAGCTCAAAAGCAGTTTTGATCAATAAATACACTATTTGACTGACCTGATGGTTGTTGTTTTGTGTTGTAAGCACCCATGCCTCACTAGGCACCCTCATCCTAGCGTACTCTTCAGTGACGTTGTAGAGGTCCCAGCCCGCCACGTTGTTGCTGTCGCTGCTGCACGCGCTGCTCGTGCTGTTCATGTAGTGGAAGCAGAACAGGTCGTCCAGTGTCGCTGTAAAATATTTACTGCTTAAACATAACATGTAAGCAGTGAAACTTTTATGCGTCACGAGCAGTGAAACATTTATGCGTCACGAGCAGTGAAACATTTATGCGTCACGAGCAGTGAAACATTTATGCGTCACGAGCAGTGAAACATTTATGCGTCACGAGCAGTAAAACATTTATGCGTCACGAGCAGTAAAACATTTACGCGTCATGAGCAGTAAAACACTTATGAGTCACGAGCAGTAAAACACTTATGAGTCATGAGCAGTAAAACATTCAGGCGTCATGAGCAGTAAAACATACACGCGTCATGAGCAGTAAAACATTCACGCGTCATGAGCAGTAAAACATTTACGCGTCACGAGCAGAAAAACATTCACGCGTCATGAGCAGTAAAACATTTACGCGTCATGAGCAGAAAAACGAGTCGATCTCATGATTATCTCATCGTTTAACTAGCCGATCTCATCATGCTGGTGGCGTAAGTGGTAAGCTAATAAATAAGTAAATCCTAATTATCCATTTACGCGAAAGCTTGAAGTCGAAGCACTAAACAAAAATTACGACATTTACATGGTCTTGAAGTTTCGTCATGGACACAGAACAAACAATTGATTGGAGACAACAAACATGGTATTTCCACAATATTACAAAAAATACTGCTGGTGATGTGAAAAAAATGGTGTTAGCCATACACGTAGAACGAACCACAAAAGTTGGCACAAAAACAATTATTAAGATCATTTAAAGCGAAAAAGGCGGTGGTGGTGACGACGAGAAGTGCAGCTGACCAGGTTGCGACAGCTGTAGGAGGGCTGTGAAGATCTCATGACAGTCTCGCTCCTTGGGGATCACGAACGTCACGGAGAGAAACGTCTTGCAGCGGATGTGCAGTGGCGACCCTTGTGTTGACAGCGGCAGCTTCTCCACGCTCGAGATGTGCATGTGTAGGATCTGAGACGAGATAAAATTTACAAGCCGCGCCTCAAGCATATGAAACTATCTGTTTCCTATGCATTCCAACCTATATTTCCTACCAAAAATTTTCAAACTAACATCTCGAGGATAATATTCTGTCACGGAAATCAAAGCTCTACGAGTAGATGTTTGCCATTTTACTTTGCATGGCAAATGAACGACTAAAACAGAATTTCAGAAGTGACGACTTACGAAGTAGCAAGAAGCTACAGTGAGCAATCAAACATCAGTGTTTCAGAATACGATGTTATTTGAGGTTTTCACCTCACCATCTAATACGTTATCGTGAGAACAAAGAGAACGAACCCAAGTTTCTTTCTTGGCTGAGGAGTCGACGAAGATGAGGTGGGTCGCCGTGAGGTACAGGATGCCTGCTGAGGGTTTACTCTTGGCGCTGCCGGTGCTGCTGCTGCTGCTGTTGCTGCTGCCCCGCTCTACCAGTCGCACGCCTTCTACCTAAACAAATATATGACAATTGAACTGACAGTCAATAATTATCGATAAAGCACTTCACAATAATTTGAAGGCATGAGACGATGGTAAAACTTAGGAGCTAGGTAAAACTTAGCAAGCGCAATAATTAGAAGGTCGCATTCAAGCATGATTTTCGAATCTGTCGTCAAAAAGTTATTGTATGAGAGTTCAGCGTACAATAATTCCATACTAGAGAAGCTTTAAAATGGCAATAAGACCCGACTTACATTTAAACTCTAAATCGTTAGTAAGAAATAAAAATTGTCTCTACTCAAAATTCAAGTTGATGCACCCGTGAATTTAATTACTGTCATATAATTCCGGCTATAATCAACCCTAAGCATAGGATAAAATTATCCAATAATATCAGAAAAACTGATTTACCGAGCCACGAAAACCCGTTCCTTCCCGCTAACTCGAGCGGCGGGAAATGATCGAGCGGCAAAGTTCCAGTACTTTTCTCTAAAATCAAGTCCATTGGAGCTTCTTCGTGAGTAACATCCACGGAGGCCTATAACATTGATGGATCTCCTTTCCACCTAGATAACCTAATTACCTAATGCCTACAAATGATGCATCCACGAGATTAGCTGCCTGTCCTGCTAGGCTGGAGCAACAGACTGAGGGCAGCACGACGCCTTGCTTACGTACCGTGTGCACGACACTGCAGTGAAGGTGTGGCTCATGGAACCCGCCTTGTTGGGTGTCCACAGACACTCTCAGGAATATTAGTTTGTGTGTGTGTGTGTTTGTGTGTCTGTATGTGTCGCATGTCAGCGTTTGAAGTTAATTGAATAATTCAGACGAAAGTTGCCTCAACTCTCACCGTTGATGAAAAAAATGATGATTGGTGAATGAGGATCTTTCATGTTGCGCACGCAAAACAGAAGAGATAGACAGATAAAACATGGTAGCAGGTTAGCGCTTGGCATCCAGTAGAGTGCTGTCGACGATAATTGTTTGGCCTCTGATAAATAAGCGTATGATGTAATCTAATAATTTATTTTATAAGTAGAAATAAGCAAAGCAATGAAGCTGCATCAGACTTCAGTACGTATCAAATAAAGGGCGCAGAATGCATTAACGAGGAAAATAAACATCCGTTCGCGAGTAAGGGATTTTAGGGCACGACGCTCGAAAGTTCTCAGCTCGCCCTATAAAACACACAATTGGCTTACTATCAGAACTAAACTGGCAAAAAACGAGAGGGAATTTATCTCAAGCAGAGCGCTGGTCGAACCTCCATAAAATTATACATGTTCAAATGTTACTACGAAGATCACTGAAAATACAGAATTTATAAAACATTATGCCAAGTCTAAATACATGCTCGATTTTCATCCGCCTGCTTCTAGGGGCTTTTCGTCAGCTAAGTCCCGAGAAAACATTGAGATTTGCAAAATGGATGGGAAACTCTCACCTATCAAAGAGAGTAACAAAGGTTATTTAAAAATTAATACTTTTAAATGAAAAATGTACTCGGATAAGTTGGGAAGTTTGAGTTTCAGACATGCACGATTAGCTAAATGAAGTAAGTTAATTAATCAGACAGTTAACCAGTTCCAGAACCACAGTCCGATCAGCATTTGTGTGAAAAATAAAAAATTTCGTCGCGATCAGTACGTCGAATGCTGGGGATAGTGCGGAACAATTTTGCGTGGACCTGGTCAATATATATAAAAGGGATACATAGACTACATTTCGGAAAATGGATACATCAATATAATGGGTTCATTATTACAACTCGATGCATGAAGATGGAACATTTATATGATTATAATGTCCAACCCAACGGCTCGCCCTAAAAGCCTAGCATACTTCTGATACGCCTAATACGCGGTTGCAAACTTTCAGCTGGTGAGCTACGATAGAAGAGAAAAATGATTGAGCAAACTGGTCGATACACTTGCTATAAAATCAGCGTCACTCTCTGATTTCGTAGCACAAAAATCAGCGTTACTGGAGTTGCTACGCTTCATATATGAAGAGTTCGGTCAGCTACCTGGTATACAAGAGGCTGGTGATGGTACGTAGTTCCAGGACCAGGTGTGTCGAGCAGCATCCAGGATCGCAATCTGTGATACACGCGGTCCGTGGTGACAGACTGTGCGCGACGCAGGGCCAAGTGAGCCCGCTCGCCGAAGGTGCTAGGACCAAGTTTATGCTCATAGTTTGCCTCGTCCAAACTGGTCGAGTCCAGAGACGAGGCGGAATTTTGGAGGCGCTCAGGACAACTGTACCTCGAGCGTGATGAAAAACCCAAGTCGGGTGAGGTCAGGGTAGAGCAATTCGATGTACAAGAAGAGGGTGTTTGTCCGCAGGGAGAGCTTTGCTCGACGGACGGAGATGCCAAGGAGCCGAATCCAAGAGACGACAAGGATGTCAGCGTCGACGAAGAGGATAGGAAAGATCGAAATAATGACGATGCTGTGGGTGAGGCTTCCGAGGAGGTCATTTCGGAGCTTCTATTAGCAGGAACATCGGATGCTGTCAGGGGTCACACACCAGAATGATATCACTCATATGCGATGAATCAAATTTTTATACATTTCCATGAACTCTTATCAAGGCAAGTTAAGTGCACCAATACGATGTAAAAGTCATTGTAGGCGTGAATTACGCGATGGCATACTAGGGTTACGAATCAATCTTTCACCTCCTACTAGCATACAATGCAATTAACGTGAATTTCTCAACTGTCCTTGAGTTACATTCAACCCAGTAATTAGAGTTCGGCAAAAACGTGTAAAAATACGCACGTTCAGAACTCGTTCACAAATTATTTTGATACCGAAACAGATTTGTTCACATTACCACTTTTAAAACCTTAGCTATTTGCATAGTAGCACATATAGTTTTGGAAGACTGGAATAAGAAAAAAAAATATTGCAAATATAAGACAAACATTGACACAAATTAAATTCGCTGCTCTTACTTTTTAGCCGCCAAAATTTTATGTGCTCATTTATTTCGTTAAATTCAATATAAAAGTCATCATATGGGACGACACAAGCATTGGCTTAGAGAAGCTTTTCATCAAGTAACGTTTACACAGACCAAATTTAAAATGCTGAAATCACTAATGCTTTTCTCCAATTCTTCTCATTCTTCCCATAGAGTTCATTGCTTTTGCATGACCAAGACAGAGTGTTGGTACTGACATTCGCGTTACCTTACGAACGCCCGACTCCCCCTGAACGCGCGACGTCATTGCATAGGTTACAAGGGAAGATCCTGATCGATTACCATTAATCTGGCACGGGAATCTTGCGAGATGGACGACGACAGAGACGAAGAGAACGGGAGGCGGTATTAGGCAAATGTCAGGCAATATGCACGACGTGATCTGGTGGTCGATATGGCCTACATGCGATGCGAGAAAGCTGGCTACGCGGCCATCGATTGTCCCGGTTCTGTTCCGTGAAACTGTCGTGAATATCACAGCCGGGATATGAATATGATGCTCGTGGATACTTGCAGGGATGATAATCGAGATAGTCTGTCAAAAGATAATTCGAGAATAATCTGTTTACTGCACTTGTTGGCTTTTGAACATTCAATTTTGTGGAAAAGTCTAAGTTTCAAATACGTTCCAACGCAACTAATTTCAATTTAACGGAAACGTTTCATAAACGTTTATTTACGTTCTAACCAATTGTTTAAGGCCGAGCGTGGAAACTTGCCGCGAGTTTGGAATCGGGAAGTTTTAAAACCTTTCGGAATAGTTAATGAAGCTTGCTACAGAGCAGCTATATCAGACGAGCAAAGTTTCGAGCCCAGAACGCAAGATTTACCGAGCTCCTAAATATTCTCGCGGATTATTCGCTAGATGAAAAGAGAGGATCTTTCTAGACGCTATCAATCATGAAAATTAGATGCACGTTCTGCACGATTTTGTGAAGGAAAATACTCAGCGTTATTAACGTAACAGACCGCAGCTTGGGGTCAGGAGTGATGGCCTGCATGGAAACTTGTATGTGCGAGTTTTAGAGTCTTGGACAATTCGCACGAATATTTAGTAAAAATCCCCTTCAATTAAACGCTAACACCAACATGAATATGGCATTGAAATTATTTATTAACAAAAGATAACTTTGAATTGTTTTTAGGGAGAGTATAGAAAATAGAATTTTTCATCAGTCGAATGATTTGATTTAGATTATTACGTTATTAATAAGGGAGAACTGAATAATCCAGAATCATAATAAAAATGACATTTAATTCAGTAAGAAATAATAACTAGATGACTATCATCAAGTATGCAGACAGGATGTTTTTGCTCAATTTCGTCTGAAGAGAGCATCGCGAATTCCATCAAGTTCCAATCTTACGTGGGTAATGTGCAGATAACGAAAAAGCTTCATTAAATTCATAAAACATTCAGCTCCGGGCGTTTTGTTGACAAGTTTTGCCAACGTTAGAGCTGAACTCGTCTTCACCCTGAAACTTGCTACTATAACAATTCTTCACACTTCTCTGGCTCCTGCCACTGTCTGACCTCTAAATCAGCCCTCCAAAATCTGTGTTCTTGGCAGTGTTTCAACATGACGACTCTGCAAGAATGGCGTTGATTCTAAACCACTGAGTCGGAAGCCATAACGAGCAGAACAACAGACTAGCGTAGAAGAACTGACGACCATGAGATCAATTTACTCTCGTACTTTATAATTCCAAGAAATAACATTCGCTCGCCGTGAATGATAACATTTGGCACGCAACTCAAACCAAAGCGAGCAGCAATCAATACTTTAAAGACAAATTCACCCATTTAATGAAGTTTCAATGCGATAATTATAGAGAGGATATTTTCTAAACGTCCCTGAAATTTCTAGACATGCATTACAAGTTCCGAGACACATTAGATATTTCTCGACATAGAACTGTAATATTGGAAATAGGCTTCAAGCGAGCTGATACGATATGAGTCAACGATAAAATATTGTGAACATGAGCTATTCCAACATTTCTTCGAGTGATTCTTT